TCAGGTTTCGATCCAAAATCCAATCAATTTCACAGATTGAGAAGACGACGAAAGACGCAGTCACTGAAACAACAATTCCCTAAACGCCGTCGTTTTAAAGAAAAGGGTCAATATAGGAATTTCCTTTTTACGAATTTTAAAATCAACAATGAGCAACTTTTATTCATCTTATACTATTCGAGCACAGACACTTCAAGTGTATCATCAAAAGCTTCAGATTCTTACTATATACAATGACATTCATGTGGTGTGAATACACAGAGGTACAAAAACAGAAAAAGCTACAATCTTTAACATCATATCTATTCAACAGTTAGGCGCAGTTCGTCCGACTCCTGATAAACTGTGTTGCTCTTATTATTACACTCCGAAGAGTTTATCTTGTAGAATGCTCTCCATTCATCGATGTTCTTCATCTCATCACATCTCAATTTAGGTAAGCTTCTTCTCTCTAATATCTCTAGAATCTTCTCTGTTCTTCCCAGATGCAGAGCCGCTCCTCTCACTGATTCTTCCCTCACTTCTACAGCCGACACCAAACACTTGACGGATATCACTTGTGCTACGTTGCAAAAACAACCTGAAACTATGTCTGATATTGTGCTTTCCAGCTTTCTCAATAGGGCTTCCCCTGTTCCGTAGTCTCTTGATTCGTAGTTGAGCAGAATTGTTTGACATATTCGGTACATGGAGTTTGCCGCTAGAGTCTTGATGGGCCAGTGAGAGGGCTTGTGCTTCATGCACACCATCAGGTTCATCTGCCATGACTCTGAGAACTCTTTCTTCGCGATTTCCATGAGCTCCCGAACGGTTTCTTCTGGATTTCTTTGTTGCTTTGATAGTTTCCGAAGATCCACATCAAACCACTTGTGATAGAGATCAGCTCCTAGCCAAACTACCTCAGCAGCTTTCCTGAGGTTAGCTGACTCTCCTCCCGTATCCAGGACGCGTTCAAACTTGTTGACAAAGTCCAGTGCCTCGTTGACAGCATTGAGTAACTTCTTGAGGGAGGGGGGCTTGACGTCCGGAAGAGCCACAGCGATGCTTGTGAGTGTTACCAGAGGGAGAGCCCAACAATTGGGTGGTTCTCCATGGGCAAGAGAAGCCACTTTGTTGCTGTCAAACTCTGCAATCCCATCAAATCCTTTTGAAATGGGTGCTGTTGCTTCCAAAAGCTCTATCAGATTCACTGGTTGTTTCTTTCTGCCATTCTCTATCCAATGATCTGTGGCTTCCCGGTTGCTCCGCACCATCACATCCACCAGCGGATCCTCTCCTTCAAGATGCAGGACAAAACTCGCAAGGTCCTGTCTCGAGCTTGGATTAGAATCGGATTTTTCTGACTCACTGTGTGTGATAGTATTACTGGTCCTTAAGATAAAATTACAGCACATCAAGATCTTACCCACACAGAAAACCGAGATGTAACGGATAATTTTGCTACCAAACACAATCACATACTGTATGACAATACATACATCCAATATCCAGCGTTTTGCATTGTGCGCAATCTTCCTGTATCTGCGATCTTTGAGGATCCAAAGGCTTAAGGGATGTTGCTTCTTCTCTGAGAACCAATGTGTCCAGTAACTCTCTACTCTAAACTCATCCCTATAATACTTCTTCCCTCTAATCGGACACCTGAAGTTCACAGCAGTGAACCATCTGATCGCAGGAGCAATGGTCCCTATGGTCACGGCAGTAGTCTGGCAAACAAGAACCAGAGAGGTTGACCATTTGTAATCAGAATCTCCATGGCAGAACCCAAGTGACCTTGGTCTTAAGAAGTAACTCCTCACCATGGCTTCACCAAGCGTAATGGCACTCAAAAGACAGAAGAAACCAGAAGCAGTGCACGTGACAGAACGAGCCATCACGAATTGAGGGCTACTAGTATGAGCCATCATCCAGAACTTTGACAAATCTTGCTGAATTTTCTTAGCAACAGTTCTCTCTGTAGCCAAAGGACACTTCATGGCAACGTCGTACCTCTTCTTGTACTTAGCCTCCAAGATTCTTTTCGTGGTGGGAACAGTAGTGGCCGAGAAACACAAGATCATAAGCATAAGAAGCATGAGAAGTACGACCAGAAAATGTTCTTCAGAGAAGACATAAATCGCACCAGTACCCAACTGAATACAGATGTTAACAACATCAGTGATTACAAGAATCCCTAAAGCCATAAGATTCATAAGGAGATCATTGTTGTCCATTATACCCAGAGAAGGCATCGAATTTCCCATCACCGTACACACAAAGACGGTGCTGCTGAGTTTAGCTAACTGATCCTGACGACTCGGCATTGAAGTGTTGAGATCCACAGAGAGTTTGATTCCGACAGCGATGAAAGTCAGAGAAGTGGCGTTGAGAGAGAAGAACTTACACGGAAACCAGAATTTGCGGTGTCGGAAGCCGTGAATAAGATCAGCGGCCATGGCTAGACCACAGATCAGTGAAGCTACGGCAACGTAGATACCAATCAAAGGTAAGGGCTTGCTGAACTCTGCATCGTTCAAATCGCCATGGGCGTCGCAGCCGAGGATACCCATCAATCGAATTCAAGGATTTGATCGAAAAGCTCTTCTTCAAGTTGACTCCATGGAAATGAGTGATCTTGTTGACATCATTCTAGAGACTGGAAAAGTAGCAAACTTTGACTTCTCTGACAAAATTCCAACGTTCTACCACACTCTTCTATGACCATTTCAACTAAATTTCGGATTAGACATTGTTGAATCGCAGATCAACCGGGAAAAACTCACGGGGAGAGGTGTTTCTGCCGGAGCTGCCTGCTTTCGTGGAGGTTTCCATTTTTGGAAAAGGCCTGGAGCTATTATGGGCCTAAGAATCGGCCCAATTAGTTTTGTTACTGGATGTGTTAATAATGATGAAGACAAGAAAATGAGGAACTTTGACTTGGCTGATAAAAATTAAAATCACCACACTCCTTTTATGACCATTTCGATTCAACTGTTGAGTGACAGATCAAAATGTCCAACGTTCTTTCAACAATTGAGATTCCATGGAATAAAAGAATTTTCAATATCAGCCTTAGGGGTTTTGAGCAATCATGCATCATCACCAATCAGGTTATTCGATGGATCCAATTTGTTTTAAAACGTTTTCAATTAGCTTAGGAAAACAAATAACATATATCACTTGATTCCCATAGCAAAAACAAATGTCTCAACATAAACAGAGAAAAACTAATCAAAGTAACTTGTCCCAAGAGAGGTCGATCACTCAATAGGGCTTCTTTTGTTGTTGATGATGGCCATGTCGCCAGGAGATGCGACAGCAATCCTGAGAACACCAAATTCTGCATCCCAAGCGATGGTGTTGTTCGAAATTAAAGAGGGAAAAGGACTCTGGACGCTTCCGAGGTAGGTTCGACCGCTCTCATCGTGCTCATACACGTTCTTGATCTCAGCTCTGAATCTGATTTCATTTTCATTAGCAGACACTTCTACATCATCCGGACTAACACCTGGCAAGTCCACTGCAAAGAAAGCCCCTCCTCCCGCTGTTGCCTTCCCAAATAATGCTCCCTTGCGACCATTCACCAGACACGGGTGTTCCTCCAAGCGTATTCCGGATTGACCTGAGAAAACAGAGTACTGTATTAACAACAAATGATGCAGCAAAACTTTAAAGAAGAAGAATGGGATCGAACGAACCTGTGAAAGGAGGCACAGTGAGAGTACACTTGTTGTTGTGTTGATCCTTGTTCACAACCTTGACCCTTGAGAGAATCATCCTCAAGACTCCATCTTTCATTTTGGCATCGACGACGCCTGTGATCTCGCAGCAGTCACAGCCAAGACCAGCGGTTCCAGAGTACTCACGAATGCCGCCTTCCTTGGGATTGAGAGTCTCGCCGGAGAAAAACACAACCTTTTGTCTCACCGCGTCAACTCTGTGATGAACGCCGTCGTCTGGAACACCAGGCAAGTCGACACGTACATAGAGATTGTCATTCTCCAGAACCTTCACTTCAATGAAACCCTTTGGACCCGCTTTCTGAAACTGATTGTTCGTCGCGTAGAATCCCTCTGTAAACAATAAGTGCAAAGATCAAAACTTGATGAAGAAAAGTATACAGAGAACAAAGGAAGACACTTATCAAAGATGGAATCAACTCGATCTGCTTCATTTTCATGGCAAAAAGATACAGAGAAAACTTATAAACAAATCAGTAAAGAAGTAAATTGATGAGCTTCATTTCTCATGAAAAAAACTTGCTTTTTTTATCATGCACACAAAAAATGTAAATCTTTGTACCAAGTTCATGTTATCTCAGTACTTCACCGGAAAAAAGGAGTCAACTTTCTAGAAAACCCACAGGAAAAAAAAACAATGTTCTTGGGAAATCTAGTGGCTCGTGAAAAGGAAAACAAAGAGAGAAGAAAGAGGTACCTCGAACTTTAGGAATTCTTGACATGTCCCTGAATTCTACCTTTGGCTCACCCATCTCTCTTCTCTAGTTCAAGGTAGGATGCGTAAAAATGGCGTTTTGTTTTGCTGTTGATAAATATAGACGAAGCACCATCATGAGGTACAGTCTGTGACGTGGCACTCTCCAGCTGGCTTTTTTCACCTTCATAGCCAAGTTTGACTGGTCTGTCTTGCCTACGTCACCCACTCTCTCTCGGTAAGAAAAAAACTTGCTTTTACTCTTTTGAATTTTTTTATCCCATGCTTTTTAGTCATTTCGTTTACGACAAAAATGACTGCAAAAGACCCACTCTCTTCATTACAAGAAGACGCTGACGTCAGCAATTATGAGCTGTACATGTCAATTATCTTTTTTCTCATCAAAGATCAAATAAGGTTTCAACCGTTGTGTAGTGTTTATCCAGTTTTCCCAACACAATAAAAAAAAAGTTTGTTCCTTTCTTACAAAAAAACATGTCAAGGTTATGTACTTATCCAGTTTGATAATGGCAAAGATCTGTAGTATGATCGATTAGCTATATATCGCCTATACGTTTAATGCAAGATTAAACAAATCAAAGAAAGCTGACAACTTTTTCATTATTGAGATCACGACATTAGAAGCAAGAGCGTTCTTAAACCACAAAAGATAAACATAAAGCAGCTAGCTGCATCAAAGTTCCTAGATAGATAGATAGAGACGCTAGCTAGCTAGCTAGCTAAAACCCTAGACACATGCATGTACCATTAATACGAGACACAAACCAAATCAGTAACGGATGATCCTCTCGATGACATCAATGGAGGCGTTTTTGCCTGGGATCTTAGGGACGGTGATCCAGAGCACTCCGTTGATAAGCTTCACCTTAACTTTCTTGACGTTGTAAGACTCAGGGTTGAAAACCATGGAGCCTCCGTATTTGCGACCGGTGTTTTCGTACTCGGGCATGGCTGGTTCGTCGGCGAAGAAGTGGACGTTGTTGTCGTCGACCCAGTAGGTGAGATCTGACTCGGGACAACCAGGCATGTCGACTCTCATCACGCAAGCTTTCTTTGTCTCTGACATCTCGTACACTGCTTGACTCCCACTTTTCTGAAATAGGTTCCTCACTGTACATAAGATAAACAAACACAAATTCGTTATTAGAAAGAGAGATTTGACGAAAAAGGTTGGATTTTTATAAGAAATGAAAGTGAAAGATGAGAACTTTACTTGGAGACGGAATGCTATTTTCGCTGGAGCTGCCTGCGTTCCGACTCATTTTCTCAATACGACGCTCTTTCTCTTTCTTTTGGCAGGAAACCGAGTGAGAGAAGTCGCTCTACTCTACTTGCTTCTATTTGTAGCCGAGGGAGGGACTATAGGGTTTTGGGAAAGGCCTGGAGTGACCTATCCATTAGGCCCATTAATAAGCCCAATTAGTGTTAAAATTCGAAAGTGTTTCTGATTTGGTGAAATTGATCGAAAAGGAGTGATCTTGTTGACAACAATCTGGCGACCGGAAAAGCAGCTAACTTTGACTTGTCTGACCGATTTTTAGCACTAAATTCCAACACACTCTTCTATTACACACTGTTGAATCGCAGATCAACCCGAGTGACCACCTATTATGGGCACATGAGCCCTAAAATTGATTTGCTCTTGTTGAACCGATCATGAAATTGTCCGTGGATAAATCTATAAACAATTGACATAGTATACTATATCAGCTTAGCTTTCTGTAAATTATGCTATGGAACCAATTTGTTTCAATCAGCTTAGGGAAAAAAAAGAGTTAAGTTTGTGAAAACAAATGACATGAATCATTTGATTCAATAGCAAACACAAAAGCAAGGACTACTCTCTCTTTCAATTGTCTCAACTTCAACAGAGAAAACTAATCAAAGTAACTTGTCCCAAAATGCAAATATAGCTAGAGAGAGAGAGAGAATAGGGGTTGGTTCCTTAGTTGTTGTTGGTGTAGCCAGGAGGTGTAGCAACAATCTTGAGAACACCAAATTCTACATCCCAAGTGATGTTGTGGCTCGAAACTGAAGGTAGAATACGGGAAGGAGGACTCATGATGCCTCCCGAGTAGATTCGACGGCTCTCATCGTGCTCACACACGTTCTTGACTTCACCATAGAATCTGATTTCATTTTCATGAGCAAACACTTGTACATCATCCCCACAAACACCTGGCAAGTCTACTGCAAAGTAAAGCCCTATTCCCGCGGTTGGTACCCCAAACAATGCTCCCTTGCGACCTTTCACCACATATGGATGATCCTCCAGATATCTTCCGGATTGACCTGAAAAAACACAGTGTATATATTTACAACAATGATGCAGCAAAAAAGGTGGAGACTTTATAGAGGCATGGGATCAAACCTGTGAAAGGAGGCACAGTGAGAGTACACTTGTTGTTGGGTTGATCCTTGTTCACCTTGACCCTTGTAAGAATCATCCTCAAAACTCCATCTTTCATTTTGGCATCAACGACGCCTGTGATCTCGCAGCAGTCACATCCAAGACCGGCGGTTCCAGAGTACTCACGCAAGCCTTCCTTATCGTCGTTGAGAGTTTCACCGGAGAAAAACACAACCTTTTGTCTCACCGCGTCAACTCTGTAGCGAACGGCGTCGTCTGGAACGCCAGGCAAGTCGACACGCACATAGAGATTGTCGTTCTCCAGAACCTTCACTTCAATGAAACCCTTTGGACCCGTTGTCTGGAACTGATTGTTCGTCGCGTAGAATCCCTCTGTAAACAATAAGTGCAAAGATCAAATATGGAAAACATCAAAAACTTCAGACTTTAATGCTCAAAAACCTGAAAAAAAAACTCAACTTTTTCATGGCAAGGGAGAAACAATCAAAGATCAGTGTCGAACTAACTCGATCGATCACGATCAGCTTCATTTCCATGAAAATACTCATCTTTTTCATGGCAAAAAAAAATGTATACAGATAACTAAGGAAGACACTATTATAAAAGGATCAGCTTCGTTTTCATAACAAAGTATCCTTCATTTCACCTCAAAAAAATGTAATCTTTGCACCAAGTTCACGTTAAAGACACTCTATATCATTTCATCGGGAAAAAGAGACAACTTTGTAGGAAAAAAACACATTTTTTTGGGGAAGAAAACGAACGATGTTGTTGGGAAATCTAATAATTCGTGAAAAGAAAAGAAAGAGAAAGGAAAGAGGAGGACGAAGAGAAACCTGGAAAGAAAGTAGTTCTTGATAGGTCAATGCATCTTACCTTTGGCTCACTCATCTCTCTTTTGGAAGAAAATGAGTGAAAAGAAAGTCTACTTTGCTGTTTATAGCCAAGGAAAAGTCTACTATAGGTTTTGGAAAAGGCCTGGAGTGATCTATTCTTGGGCCCATGCATCAGCCCAATGAGTGTTCGAAAACTGCTTTTGATTTGGTGCTGTATATGTTAGTTATGAAGCTGATGAGCTTCCATCATTTATTCTCCTCCATACACATTATAATTTAACTTGCTATTGATTCTTACTGAAAAAAATGATTGATTCATCTGATTGGTCCAGAAACTTTCCTAGTACGATGAACTCGTTTTAATCAAAAAACTCTGTTTCATTGCGTGGCGGTGTAGAATTAGATTGATACAACAAGTACTAGTAAGTAATACAACTTGGTTGGTCTACCGTCTACGTTACTTAATAATACAAAGCAGAAACAGGGCTATTCTCAAGCAAAACATGATACAACTCTAAAGCTTTGGAAAAGACAAGATTAAAAATAAAGAAGCTAAGCATTGATCTGGCTTGAAGGTGTTTCCGAGTGTTGTGAGAAGATACAAGTTCTACAAGTGGGACAGGAGGAGCGAGTAGAGAGCCATTTGTGGATACACTTGACATGGAAACCATGTTGGCATTTCTCCAGCACTTGGATACTTTCTCCTTGTTCGAATTCCGACAAGCAAATGGCACACTCTGCTTCAGCTCCTGCGAGTTCAAGGTCGGAGGAGTAGACAAGTGTAGGAGTTGTTGCAGTGGATGGAGCAGCTGCTTCAAGGTCAGGCTTGTGGTCGTCTTCAGTCTCGAGGGTTGGTCGGAGAAAGCAACGGATTGCAGCGTAAAGAGAGAGAGCACAAATGAGAGCAGAGATGACAAGGATGAGGAGGACGGATGCATTAGCTGTGAAGTCAGTAGAGTTTGAGTAAGGCTTCCATCTGCAAGTATGAGAGTTACATGTTGGAGTTGCAGCAGAGGACAATGGTGAAGCTACTTCTTCTACTAGAAAACGCATCTTAATTGGTTTGAGAGAGAGCCTCGTGAGAAGAGACCTTATAGAGGAGGAAGAGTGTAGGGACAATGGTGGCGATTCCAGTGAAGTCTTGAAGCTCTGAGAGAGAGAGAGTTTGAAGGATTAGGATGGTTTCGTCTCTATTTTGAGGACTGTAACACTCTCTTCTCTCTCTTTTGGTCCACTTCACATTAATGGATATTATTGTGATGGATGAGGGATTGCTTTCTTTGTCCTGTGGCTTATCATCATCCACATGTTTGCCACACGTCGGCCTCATACTACGTTGCCTACATTCTAGGCAAATTGCTCTTTTTTAATTCGTTTTCATGTTTGAATTTGTCAATATACGGATCTAGATAGATGATAAAAGAGAGAGAAAGACAAGAACAAAATACACTTCATTGTTTCTCTGTCTCTTTTTATATCACTCAAGTTTACATCTTTTTCTTTAAGATAAAAAAGAAACAAAACCCCAAATTAGAAAAAAAGGGTGAAAAGAAAGCTATAACAACAAATCAAAATAGTAAAAAAAAAAGAGTAAAGAAAGCTTTAAGCTTTTTGGTACCAATATATATATATTTTTTTAAAGTAACTTTTTTCCTCTTCTAAAAACTCTCTTCTGCAATCATCTGATCTCCATGGTATGGATTTCTCACTTCTCTAAGCTGCAATTCCTGCAACAACACCATTTTCATATGATTTCATCAGATTTTCTACAAATCCTTGAATTCTCAGATCGAAAAAGGCGTTCATTCATTCATTATTCATACCTCCGTTTGGTTGCCTGTTCATGTATCCAGCTGGTCCTCTAGACATGAAGTCCAATGCTCCCATTCCCAATCCTTCCTCTGCCTTTGCAGGCAGAGAAAGCCACATTGAGTCGCTGTACAGAGAGTCTGCCTCCATGCTGCTTGAGCCACTGCTGTAACCACCAACATGAACTCCTCTCATTGCTTCTAATCCTACACCTCCTCTCTCACCGTGGTAGCTACTACGTCCACGTGCAGCTGTTCCCCAGTTGTCACCAATGCTGCCTAGTGAAGACGTTCCAGAGTTTCCACTGAAGCTGCTTCTTGATATCGGAGAGTTTGACATGTAACCTAGACCACCATTTCCCCATAAATGGTTCTTTGTTGCTGCATTTAGCACAGAACTGTTCCCAACACTAGCTCCTCCCGTTTCCATCTGGCTACCGTATCTGCCGAGACTCGCAGCATACCCAGGGCTAAAAGGTCGTCCAAAGCCTCCGCTGGAACCAGAACCGTAGTTCTGAGTCTGGTTTGGCTCAAAATTCAGCTCGATTCCGTATCCATGCCCAAACGGTGAGAATCCGCCCCTATTACCTACTGCTGGACTGTACCTAACTTCAGGTTTTACTCCATAGCCAGAGATTGGACTCGGGCTGAATCCTTGGGTGTACTCGTTCAGCAATGTACTGATTCTACTACTGCCAAAGCTATTTACATTCATTTGGTTCCGCATTGTGTTGAGAGCCATTTCCTTAGGAACAGCTAGTTTGACCTCCACCATCTTACCATTGAGTTCGTGGAATGTCTTCTGCAGCACTTTGTCAACAGCGTCCTCAGAGTCATATGAGATGAACCCAAAGCCTCTCGGCCGTTGGGTCCTGTGGTCATACATCACCACAACATCAGTGATCATTCCAAACTGAGCAAAATACTTTTTGAACTCAGCCTCTGTGACGGATGAAGCCAAACCTCCCACAAAGATCTTCTTGGTGGTTGAAGGGCCAGGTGATCCCTGAAGGCTGCTGTTACTTTTGTTAAAAACTGCGTGATCATCTCTTGGAACAGCCTTCTTTGCCTCAACCTGGATATATCATGGAGAAAGTCAACACACCACACCACACAACTCAAAGAAAACAATTTGTTATATTCTCTATCTTTTGATATTGGTGCTTGTTTACACTGCTGATGATTGTAAACAATAGAGAGTCTACTAACTAGAACAGGAAGGAAAAAAAGGGAGTAGCTTTGCTTTGAGAAGCAGCAACCTCAAAATGAAGCAAGTAAGATTGTTGAAAATGGAAGCAATGTATATTGGTTGGTATATAGAGGAGGAAACTTACAATTTTACCATCAATGATATGTTTAAGCAAGACGACTCGCTCAGCAACAATAGGATCAGCAAAGACAACGAAACCAAAGCCACGAGCACGACCAGTGGCACGATCCTTCATAATAACAGCCTCTAGAACCTCACCAAAACTGTGAAAATACTCACGAAGACGATCTTCACTGGTTTCCCAAGATATACCACCGATGAAGAGCTTACATGATTCCATTTCCATTTCTGCCGAAAACAAACACGAAAAGCTGATGTCGTCGATCTAAGTGAATAATGGAATCGAAAGAGAAAAAACAAACCTCAAGGGAAGCAATGAAAAAGAGCAGATGGGTCGTGATCGGATTGTGTAAAAACCGATCGACCCAACGATCTTGGATTCCTGCAAAACAAAACAAAAACCCAAATGATCAAAAAAGGTGTAAGCTGAAAAACCCAGAAGACAGACAGAGACAAGGAATCTACCGAAAATAAAGAAACGGAGAAAGAGGAACCAAAAAAAAAAAATAAGATTTTGGATTGAGAAATCTTCAGATTTGGACAAAGGCAAGGTTTTTAATAAGAGGGCGAGAGGCCTTCCTCTCTCGTTTCTGATTATCGTCCAAATTTTAGTCCTTTTTTTTTTCTTTATTTTGGAATTAAAAGGAACAAAAATGGATGGAAGCTATGCTCAGCACCAATTCAGAAAAAAAAAAGAGAAAACTTTTCCTTACGTTTTTGTTTTTATATGGCAATGTTTCGCTTTGGCTATCCTCCTTTCCTTCTAAGAGACGAGGGCTTTTTCGTCATTTCTTTTTCTTCTCTGTGTAATAAGTGATTTCTTAAATCTTAATAATAAATGTACCAATGCGTGCACCTTTTTCCCCTTAAGTTAAAAAATCTATCTATCATTAACCCTGATTTCTTCCTTCTACTAGATTTTAACTTCATTTTTATATGCTAAATATTTACACATTAGCATATACATTTTTTTTTATGGTTCGTTAATCAGATGATTATGAAAGATGCAACATGTGCTTTTCAAATACAATAATTTGATTGCATGAATTTTTTTACATTAAAATGAAAATGGCATGAAATTCTTAGTATTAGAGCTTTTGGGGAATCAAAGTGGGCAGGAACATGGGGAATGGTTGATGACGATGATAAAGATTGCCATCCCACAATTTTTTTATATGCCCCTTCATTTTCCTTTCAAATAAACTAATTAAATATGTTATGAATTGAATAATCATTTTTAAAATAATTTATCACCAAGTGGAAGATGTTCCAAGTACACAAGGCATTACTTGTGCTTCCAAATTATTATTACCAACTTTCATAAGCTTACTTTTCTTCTTTAAATTAATCACTTCTTTTGCCGTCCAATTTTTTTTATTTACACCCTTTAGAAAACAATGTTATGTCCGTTTAAACTTAGATCGACAACATTCATACAAACCACTAGATTATTACATCTACAATTAATAAAAGGGACTTATTATCTATAAAAAAAAAACATGTTTTTATTGATGGTATGTACTCCCTCCGTTTTCGAATAGTTGTCGTTTTAGAGTTTTTTTTTTTGTTTTAAATTAGTTGTCGTTTTAAGGTAATAATGTAATTTATGCCAATAACTACCCAAATTACCCTCATTTTATTGAACACAAATTATTTGTAAATAATTACTTGTCATTTTTATGAGGTTAATATAGTCATTGTATATATTTTCTTAATTTGTCCAAATACAGTTAAAACGACAACTTTTAAAAAACAGAGGGAGTAATATATACAAGTCAAATATCTACCGTTGACAATGAATACGGTTTGCATTACATAAGTCAGTCAATATATGTATACCACTTATTTTTTAATTTTTTTAATTTACAACACTAGTCCAGAGTTTAATAATTCGGATCACCTAATATGTATTCATAGACAAGGTCTATTAATTCATTAAAAGCGTGACATCAAACGTTAGACACATGGAGATGGAATTGAATATTAGTCCACTAATCATAATAGTAATACACGACAAGTCTTATAGCCTATTTATCAACTATCTCTTGTATACTAGTATTAAAGTTTGTTTGTTCTATTAGTAATAAAACTCATCTTGCAAGAATCCAAGATTAAGCAGCCTTACTAATTCGGGGAAAATAGGTTTATATAATTAGAAATGAGCAGGAGAATTGTATGGGAAAAGCCATAAGCTTCGTTGGGCCTACAATTTGATTGAAAAGAAGAAGACGAAACGCCGCATCCCAAAAAGGCCTATGTTATCTTAAGGCCCAATAATGTTTTCGGCCCAGTAGATGTTCTCTACTCTCTGCTCTCTCTCTCTACCACCATTCTTTCTCCAGCTTCAGAGGAATTAGACCTAAGAAGAATCCTCACTCGCAGGTATGGCTTCAAAGAGCTCTCGATCTATGTTATCGTCTCTATTTGAAATTCGGTGTATAAAGTTTCAATTTTTATCACCTTGAATTTGATTTCTTCCATAAAAGCTGAGACTTGATTAGAAATTCGTCCATTTAGATTGAAATGCTAATGTTTGTTTCAGATGCATTGCATTAGGAGCTCCATTCTGCAACACTTGAGACTGAGAGTCTCTGTCAGACCCACTTTGCTTCTTCAGAACGAGAATGGTTTCAAGAGTATTGGTTATATGAATTTCACATCAGAAGCAGCTGATGCAGATGGAGGCCAAGATCAAATCTTGAGCAGGGTTATTGAACTGGTGAAGAAATACGACAAAACCAACACCTCTGAGGTTATTATAAAAACTGCTGCTTTTTCTCTGTGTGTAACCTTTTTTGTTTTGTAAGACGGCTTGTTTACTTGCAGGTTACTGAAAGGGCTGATTTTCAGAAGGATTTGTCGCTGGACAGCTTAGACAAGGTGGAGCTAGTTATGGCTATTGAAGAAGAGTTCTCGATTGAGATCCCTGATGAGAAAGCTGATAAGCTTACTTGTTGTGGTGATGTTGCAACTTACATACTCTCTGAAACTCCTACCAAAGCGTCTGAGTCCTGAGTGATATCTCTGCCTTTCAGTCTTGTCTTCAATGTTGAGTAAATGCAAGTTTAGAGACATGGTTGATGTCTTTGCTTCACCCAATATTATTTGGGGTTTGTGCTGCTAAACATTTTTCATCTGATACATATTCAAATGTGATCACACTATCTTGTATCAAAAACATAGAAGCCTTTTTATACATGATGCAAACAATTTAGAGAGACTCAACTCGGTTCTGTGACTGTAGCGCCAGCTAAACAAACGAGGACCAAAAGAACAAATCCTTTTCACAAGATGGAACTTGAAGAATCTGTTGTTTCTGTTCAAATCTTTTGTTGACACAACGAGCTTGCTATGATCTTGAAGTGTGGCCCTGTAACCTGATCTTCCCTGAGGTGTAGACTCGGAGGCCATTGGTAGAGGAAACAAGTTTAATACGTTTGTGTATATTGGTAGAGGTGTGATAGCATCTATAGTGCCTAGGCACATATACTGGCTTGATGAAACATTTGTTTTCGAGGTCTGGAATCGCGTGGAGTTGGGAGGGGAGATCGATTTCAAACTCTCCCAATTCATCAGTAACAGCCTTAATCCATTTGGACCTCCTTTTGGATCCAGTTTGGCATTTGATGGCAACAGTGGCACCTATGAGGATCATATAAGTATTCGGACGGAAGACAAGAAACGTGAAGAGGAAGGTAGAGAAACAAATACCTGGAATAGGGACAGAGTGAAGGTAAGGACGTGAAGTGTCGCAGAGAAGAGATCCGGCGATGATGACAGAGGAGAGTTTCTGTTCACCGTAGCCAGCCATCTCCACCATTTCCGTTCTGGTCCATGTATTCCCAAATGCTCCGTTGAAGAAAAAGAAGGAGAATAACAAGAAGCAAAGGAGGATGAAGAAGCTTCCCATCGTTAAACACAAAGAAAAGAGGTTTGTTTGTTTGTTTTTTTGGCTTTCTCTGCATATGAATACGTTGGATTTTGTTAAAGAAATGAAAATAGCATGAATATATAGAGAAGAAGGAAGCTAAAGAAGAGGAAGAGACCCTTTGCGTGGTGGCTTCAGGTCACACAGCTCTGTACGGCAGTGTCTCTCTTTATACCATATAGTAGCCTTTTTCTTTTTAGTTGTATCTCTTTTCTAAATATATAAAAAAACTAATACATGGCTGACTTTTTTAGGGTCAAATTTAGAGCTGAATCTTCCAAATGAAACAATGAACCGAGAGAGAAAGAGAGACGGCACTTGGAAGCAATTACTGAGTGGTTCGCCTACTCTTTCACTCCTTGTATAAGTATAATTTATTAATAATATTTGGTGCAACGTTTTTGTATCAAGTGTGACGTTTCTCCTTTTCTTCATTTAATTAAAGCCACAATTCAATTGGAGTAGTCATGCAGGAACCAAAAGATTCAAGCCTACCTTCAACTATATACTCCAACACAGATTCACATTCGTGGGTTTAGTCGTCTCCACGTGGCAGAGTATCTAGCTCAAGGAGTCAGCAGCACTAGACCTTTAAGGTTCTGTTGACCAAACCACACATTTTGATGAGGAAAGGAAAAAAGTATGGGCCAAAACTAGCATATTAGCCGGTAAAAAGGTCCATCACCTTTGATGGGTCTTTGAAATTGAAATATTGACGGCCCATTAGGATTCCAGGTGGGACAAGCATTAGTGTGATATAGTATCATTAAGAGCTTAATACAGCTGGGAGCTGGTGATTATTGTTAACTAATCACACGCTTAGAAAAGCGACAATGGATCGGAGAAGATCGAGACCGTCAAAAGTGGGACGCTTTTTGTTTCCAAACAGCTGTTTGATCTGATTGGTCGATGCAGTTTGATGGCCATGAACCCCACCACAGACCACACACCCTCAATACCTCAGTCATGATCCCAACCCAATTCGCTCTTAACACAAAAAAAAAAAAAAAAAAAAAGTGAAAAATTGACCGATGGGTCGTTGAGTGGCAGTTACCCTCTGTCCCCCTAACGCCTTCCACTTTGCTCCGTGTCTTACACGCGCTCTCTTTCTCTCTTATGATTGTTGACCACGCTCCCCTTCTGCGCGTCGGATTTAGACAAAAGGTCGGACGGGTCCACTAACGGTCCACAACACGTGGCAGAGTGTTAAAGGGGCTGGTTTTATCTCTCAAACAAGATCATTCCAATCCGACGGTCGAGCACGAATCCAGTTGTCAGAATCTTATCAGTAAATGGACGGTTCATATGAGATCACGTGAACAGAAGTCGTGCTTCCTCGCTTTTATATAAACTCCGGCGACTCCTTCACCACTGTGTACAATCCCAGCCGACACTTACCAATTCACACCTGCTCTTTTACTCTTTCTTAAACCCTAATTTTCTCGCTTCAGTCTTCCCACTCAAGTCAAACCACCAATTGAATTCGATTTTGAATCATTGGTGGAATGATTTGAAAAAAAGAGTAAAGTTTCCATCTTTTTTTGATTTCTTGTAATTATCAGAAATGGGAGATTCCGACAGGGATTCCGGTGGAGGGCAAAACGGGAATAATCCCAACGGACAGTCCTCGTTGTCTCCAAGAGAGCAAGACAGGTTCTTGCCGATCGCTAACGTCAGCAGGATCATGAAGAAAGCCTTGCCCGCCAACGCCAAGATCTCCAAAGATGCCAAAGAGACGATGCAGGAGTGTGTCTCCGAGTTCATAAGCTTCGTCACCGGAGAGGCATCGGATAAGTGTCAGAAGGAGAAGAGGAAGACGATCAACGGCGACGATTTGCTCTGGGCTATGACCACTCTAGGGTTTGAGGATTATGTTGAGCCATTGAAAGTTTACTTGCAGAGGTTTAGGGAGATCGAAGGGGAGAGGACTGGACTGGGGAGGCCACAGACTGGTGCTGAGGTCGGAGAGCATCAGAGAGATGCTGTTGGCGATGGCGCTGGGTTCTACGGTGGTGGTGGGATGCAGTATCACCAACATCATCAGTTCCTTCACCAGCAGAACCATATGTATGGAGCCACTGGTGGCGGTAGCGACAGTGGAGGTGGAGCTGCCTCCGGTAGGACAAGGACTTAAAAGATTGGTGAAGTGGATCTCTCTCTCTCTCTCTCTCTCTCTCTCTCTCTCTCTCTCTCTCTCTCTCTGTATATAGATACATAAATACATGTATACACATGCCTATTTTTACGACCCATAAAAGTTTCGATATATAAGGTATCATGTGATAGAACGAACATTGGTGTTGGTGATGTAAAATCAGATGTGCATTAAGGGTTTAGAATTTGCGGCTGTGTAAAGAAGATCAAGTGTGCTTGTTGAACAATAGGATTCACTAACGAATCAAATCTGCTTCATTGAATCTTGTATGTAACTAAAGCCATTGTATTGGATTTGGATAGCATTGAATGCAAATGTTTTCATTAGGGATGTCTTTATGTTTTGGTGAGAGCTACGTAGTGATTCAAGTGTCAAAATGCTTACATAGAGAGGCAGCAAAGAAACCAGCTTCGTTAGAATCTGTGAGGAATGCTCTGTTTGTTGAGCAAGAAGGTCAATTGCGCGAATGTAAGTCGCGGGTGTTGTAGTACAAGTTGCCTTGTTGATCAGGTGCGGTGACGCGGAGAGGAGTGAAACCTTCGTAGTCTCCGTTGGTTTTAGCAGAGCAAATTTCTGTCATGTACCTCAATAGCTCATAATTCTGTACAAATGGTTGCTTTATGTATTCCTCCCAAGGCATCCACTGCACCAAGGTTCCCATTTTCAGAAAGAGAAGAGGTTTATGAGTGTCTTGGCGGATGAGACTGGAGAGTCGTTCAAGTGGGGAGGAAAATATGTTACCTGAGCTGCCTCAATCTCTGACTCCTGTGCATTGATCTCCAAAGAAAGGGGCTTTAACATGCACACGAAGAACAAATCTGACTTTCCAAAGAACGCTTTGTGTGTTTGTCTGCCAGAATTTTAAAACAGATAATAATCAGTTATGTTGCAATATAGAAGATTATGCGGTTGGAGTTGGAGTTGCAACCTGAAGGCCAATATTTGGTCGAATTCTGTATCCACCTGAAAACATACGATGCAAAGAAGAGTGGGATTAGCCTTGGTCTCATGTAAACTGTAAATACTAGAGTGAAAAGTTGAGGCATGAAGAAGGCTCACTCCGGTCTCTTCTTTCACCTCTCTGACTGAGCCATCATGGATGTCTTCACCCTACGTCAATACAAACAAAAGAAAGGCGCATCAGAGAGCTGAACCTAACCATGGTATGAGCTTTGATAAGAAGCAGCACCTCATTCACAACTCCGGTGGGGAACTTCCAGATACCTTGGCCTTGAAATCTCCCTGTCTTCTCTTGAACCACCAACACCTTAGGATAAAAATACAGAAAAAGAGATGTGATACATTCTTGGAGATGTTCCAAAAAGACACTGAAAATCTCTCATCTCATCAGTAATCACACCTCTCTGTTGTGGTTAATGACAAAGGCACCTATGCCAACACGGTGAGATGCATTGGCAGGAAGCGTATGGTCTTCTTTGGGAATCCAATACACAAGCATCAAGTAGTCTTTCTCCGCATGATGAAACCAGAATCCTTCCTACACATGGTACACAACCAGTCAGTGATTTGAATAAACAAAAGGGGCTTTGAAGAAATCTGATTGCAGGTTAAGCATCAGGTAACAAGAACACCTTAACAGCAGTTTCAGCAAGACCGATAAGCTGCTTTGGCAATTTGATCCACACTCCCTTCTTGCCCTGCATACACAAAAACGTTTGTAGACGATCTATCATAGACAGTAGATCGGCTCATAGTCCTATTCACCGTCTATCCGGCCTATTGAGCAATGGTTACTGTAGTGGAAAAGTTGAATTCACTTTCTTTGCAGCAAAGTAACAGAGAGTCTCTGGCCCGCATTAGAATACAATAATTTTCAAGAGGAATAGTGACACCAAATTTTTCAATGATTCTTCTATGTAACAACAAATCGGTACCAATATCTGAATTCGGATTACAAAATTTGTCATTCTGATCCTATCCAATCAGAACAAATTTAACAAGAGGAAGAAGGAAGAGAGAACCTGAAGAGTCCAGGTAGAGAGAGAGGATCGGAGAAGTGTGGAGAAGAGAGAAGGATCCATGGGATGAGACATCTCGGTCATCACGCCACCGTACTTGTCTTGAACAGACGGAAGCAGGGTTGCCTCGTCACGGGACATGGGATTAGAGGAGGAAGAAGCAGACATGGATCTGTTCCTCGTGGTGAAGCAACTGTGAAACGCAGAGAACCCATCAGCCGGAAGACGACGCCCATTATTATTATTACTCAACAATAATTTGATTAAACCATAGCTTTTGGCCAAACGGCAACTCATCATCATCATTAGAGAAGAAAACACAACTTTCAAAAACTCAATAACTTACACAAAAAGATTTGCCCTTTATTACTTTCTCAATTCTCTTACACTTAAATAAGAAACAGACAAAACAAATCTGAAAGTTATTAAATTACAAAATGGAACACTCTTTCAAGGATTGAGCGTACAAAACCTGTGTTTTTTTTTCACCAATGCACTTCAGTTTCCCCAAACTATGATGGAAATAATTAAAAAAGGAAGGAACTTTTAAGCCTCGAATCTATTTTTATACTATATACCTTTCTCAATATATATTTTGCTAAACAAAAACAAAAAAATATATTTTCTGTTTAAGGTCAAAAGTTAACACGCGGAAATGGAAAAGTTTATGTGGATCTATATATACATTTTTGGAGTATATTTAGCAAATAAATCCTGGAGTTGAAACTTATTTACGAGTCAATGTCATTGGCATTTATTATTTACTTTTACAAAATTTAAATAAAAGATATTAACCAAACAATATCTTGCCTAATTTGTTTCTAAAAATTTTTACGCAATCTTTCCATATATCTTCAAAAAAGAATTTATAGCAAATATTTATATTAACATTTTGCATAGTAATAAAAATATTAATTTAAAATAATCAAAATATTCACATAGAAAAATCATATACACATACAAGAAAAAAACTATATTTTATCATCATTTAAGCCGTTGCTTTATTTAAATAAAATAAAAACACAAAAACTTGAAATCATATATTTTATATGATAAATTTAAAATATATATTAGTAGTATAAATTTAGAATCATTCAAAGAACGGTAAACTACGGGTAAGATCCTAAAATTATTGGATTTGTAACAATAATAATTTATTTTCTTGGATTTTATAACACTAATAATTTAGCTAACGGGATAATATAGACAGGTTTATATAGAATGACGGGTTTGGGTCGATATTAATAAATAACGTTATATCACAGATGAAATCCTAAAATTAACAATCAAAATACATTATACAATCTTAAACACAAAACAAAAGAAACAATATTAACAAAACAAATACAACTTATAATTTAAATTTTTTAGTTATAAAAAAACCGACCCACGGTATACCGCGGAGTAAAATATTCAAAATTTTAAAATTGACCATACATCGTTACTTAAAAAATGTATGTTTTCGTATCTATACTTCAAAAATTGAAACCTAAACAAAAGTAATCATACACTAAATAATACATAGATAGATATCTATATTTAAAAATACAAATTAATATGATATATCTTCAATTAATTTTAAAAAAAATAATATTACATTTTTTAGAAAAATATAGCGCCGCGGTATACTGCGGGTTAAATTCTAGTTGTCTGTATAATGACACGCTTGATAGAGAAATAAAATTACCAATGATTTTCTTCTAATTTTTGTCAAATTCCAAATCTTAATAAGGATTACGATCTAACGTTTCTTTAGCATTTTATGATTTTAAGAGAAGAAAATTATGTCGGTATCTACTAGCTGAGCCACAAAACATATTCGGGTCGGGTTGTATAAACGGGTAAGAAAACGACTGAGGATAAAATGGAGGTTATGTTGCTCCTTTGAGGGTATAAAGGTAAATATACAGTTTTTTACCCTTTGAACTGCTTTTACTTTGGCCAGTGTCTCTTCTTTCACGCCGCCCATTTAATTTTTTTTTTACCTTTTCCCGAAATGGAACTTCTCGCCGGCGACTGTCGGAAACGAGTCGGCGACGACTTTGACGAAGATGTTAACCCATTCGATGGCTCAGATGGTGGCTGCGGGTGGATGTACGGTAGCCGTCAATCGGGAAACGACGACGCTTTGGCTACGCTCGCAGACTTGGCTTCGCCTCCTCAGAAATTGAAACCTATCAGGTGTGGCGTTAAGCTTCCGTCGGAGGATCGACATCCTCTTGATATTCTCGCCGGAACCCTAGATAGGCTGCCGGAGATGGGGTTTGGCTGCTTCGAAGCTCCTTTGGGATCCAAGATTGCTGACGTGGAGCAAAGTGGTCAATTGACTCGTGGGTTTTCAAAGGAGGATGATGATTCTCTTCCGCTTCAAATGGAGTTTCAAGCTCGAAATCGCATCTCTTGGGATGGTCTCTCTCTCAGGTATAATCTCACCATTAAAAAAATGTGAGCTTTTTGTTCAAGTTTGGATCTGTTACTGTGAAAAGTTGTTACTTTTTTTGTATTAGTAAGAGACTAATTTTTTCACGTTTATTATAAGCTTGTTTGGTAAACACATTCTCTTCCTCTTTATACACTTGAGCTTTGCGGTTTCATTTGATTCTAGATTGGTAACCAACTGCTGCATCTTTGAACATCTCAGCTTAAAGCATTAAACTTTGCAGATAGTAATCAGATTGATGTGGCGTCATTACAACCTTTTACAATATATATTCTGAGGGTTGTTTATACCACTTCTAAGCAGTGTTTGTCTATAGATTCTGAGAAACTTTAGGATGATTAGTTCTAATAAGATAATGAAATCATGTTGGAAGCTTTGAGTTTTGACCAGTACTTCCAATTGATTTTGCAGCTCCTCTGTTGATAGCGATAGCGACTCTTCCTCGGACGTTCGCAAGACCGTCACTGGTAAAAGAAAGCGGGAAACAAGGGTAAAGCTGGAGCATTTCTTGGAGAAGTTGGTGGGGAGTATGATGAAGCGGCAGGAGAAGATGCATAACCAGTTGATTAAGGTGATGGAGAAGATGGAAGGGGAGAGAATACGCCGTGAGGAAGCTTGGAGGCAACAGGAAATCGAGAGGATGATACAGAATGAAGAGGCGCGGAAGCAAGAGTTGGCACGCAGCTTGTCTCTCATCTCTTTCATCAGAAGTGTTATTGGTGACGAGATCGAGATCCCTAAACACTTTGAATTCCCGCAACCACTCCAGCAGATTCTTCCCGAACAATGTAAAGAAGAGAAATGTGAATCCGCTCAGACACAAAGAGAGATAAAGTTTAGGTATTCAAGCGGCAGTGGGAACAGCGGGAGAAGGTGGCCGCAAGAGGAAGTGCAGGCATTGATAAGTACGAGAAGCGATGTGGAAGAAAAGACGGGGATCAACAAGGGAGCGATTTGGGATGAGATATCAGAAAGAATGAAGGAAAGAGGCTACGAAAGATCTGCTAAAAAGTGTAAGGAGAAGTGGGAGAACATGAACAAGTACTACAGGAGAGTAACGGAAGGTGGGGGGAAACAACCTGAGCACAGCAAGACTCGCTCATACTTTGAGAAACTTGGAAATTTTTACAAGACTAATTCCTCGGGAGAGAGGGAAAAATGAGTGAAAGATTTTAAATTATAGGTGTTTTTGGCACGCAAAACGGGAGGAGAACTTGTAGATGATTTCTCGAGTTTAATTTTTATATTTTGGTGTAGTTTGTTTTTAATTTTTAAACTCGACGACTCTGTATTTGTAGAAGGTTCGAATAAAAAAGACAAATACGTTGGGTGATTGTAACGGCTAAGGGAGACGAGAAGGATCCTCGGGCACATCGACTATGGCTGCCACGTTGTACAACTTGTGAGGTCTGAAATTACAAATGCTGACACTTGCCAACACTAATACTAGCTTTATTCCAATTACTCTCTTCTCTCTCTGATTCACTTCTCTTCTTCAAATGCTTCTAAATTTCGGGCATTGATTATTATTTTTTTAGGGATATTCACAAACACAAAAGTCGTGAATTTAGAACAAAGAAAGATATGGAACGTGGAGGCTTCCATGGCTACCGCAAGCTGTCCGTGAACAACACCACTCCTTCACCAGGTAGTGCCATTCTCCATATCCCTCTTTTCACAGGCTTCTTCATTCGGTTGCATGCGAAACCATTCTCCATTGTCATGTCTGTAGTATTTTCATGACGAACAGCGAATGAAATAGCTTTTCAATCTCATAAACCGTGCATGCAGACGTCATCGAAGCCATTATGCACTAAAACTTCCATTTTTCTTCTTTTTGTTAGGATTACCAGCCAACTTTTTGATGGCAGAGGGCAGTATGCGTCCCCCAGAATTCAACCAGCCTAACAAAACCAGTAACGGTGGTGAAGACGAGTGCACAGTGAGGGAGCAAGACAGGTTCATGCCTATTGCCAACGTGATACGGATCATGCGGAGGATCTTACCTGCCCACGCCAAGATCTCAGATGACTCCAAGGAGACGATCCAAGAGTGTGTCTCGGAGTACATCAGCTTCATAACAGGGGAGGCTAATGAGCGGTGCCAGCGGGAACAGCGCAAGACCATCACTGCTGAGGACGTCTTGTGGGCAATGAGCAAGCTCGGTTTTGATGACTACATCGAACCCCTCACACTGTACCTCCACCGCTACAGAGAGTTGGAGGGTGAAAGAGGGGTTAGCTGCGGTGCTGGATCCGTTACTATGACCAACGGCTTGGTGGTCAAGAGGCCTAATGGGACCATGACCGAGTATGGAGCCTACGGGCCTGTGCCAGGGATTCACATGGCGCAGTACCATTATCGTCATCAGAACGGGTTTGTTTTCAGTGGTAACGAACCTAATACTAAGATGAGTGGTTCATCTTCAGCAGCAAGTGGCGGCAGAGTTGAAGTATTTCCGAGTCAACAACATAAGTACTGAGAACAATGGCTAATAACATAGACAGCTGACAGAGCGAGAGTCATAACCGTTAGTAAGCGCAAGCTGTAGCTTATGAATTCAAGTTTAAGCGAAAACAATGATGCTTTTTTCTTTGGTTGTCATCTAGTTGAAAGAACATTGTGTTTTTCATCTGATCTGTCTTGTGGTAAAAAGTGTGTCAATAAAGCATTAGTTTTCCAAACCGCATGCATGTGATCTTACGAAAATGACGGTGAAAGTCGCAATGCGTCTTGCCTCAACATACATAAAAGGGACTAAATATTCCAGATTCCAAAACTCAGCTACAGAAACAACTCTCATATGCATAATCTTCATTTCATCTAGCTACTACTTTCTAGAGGAACTTCAACGCATACCTTTTTCCTCTCCAGAAGATCACTCTCGTCCGCCTCAGCCTCTTCCTCCAGATGCTCTTCAGAAAGAGGTTCCAATTTCGAACAATCAACAGGATCAAGTCCGGTTCTTTTCCTCTGAGGAATGACAGTGAAGAAGGCTGTTTTCCAGTCCCTAGTCTCCAGAAACTTGACGAGTATCTCCAAAACTTGGTTCACAGTGAGAACCTAAATCAATAAAACTTGACATTAAGAAAGTACAATGAGACAAGAATTGAAGTGGCCTTTTAGTTAGTTACCTGAGAACTTGACATTTTCATATACTCTCCAATGGGAAGCTTAGCTGTTTTAATGCCTTGTTCTTGAGCCTTGGTCATGGTGATCCCTTTGAACCGGTTTCGATCCACTAAGCCACCGATAATGTAGATGTGCTTGAGGTCAAGATCATCCAAAACAGTTTCAGAATCAGCCGTAAGATAGACCAAATGATCTTTCTGATCAGCCATGGCTTCAATGTAACACCTACTCTCCTTCTCAATGAACCATTTCTCAAAACCAGGAAGCTTGTCAAGCTCAGTACTCATCTTCCCTTGGACTCCTGTAAGCCATAGATGACAAGGTGAAGTGCTTCTCCCATTGACCGCATAGCAATACATAATCTGCTGAACGAGGCTTGAGATCTCAGACTCAGACATAAGATGAGCAAAATCAACATCTACTACGATCTTTTGACCTATTTCTTTAGCTCGATTAAGCCTCTCCATCTTCTTCTCCTTCTCCTCCGATCTCTTCTCCATTCTCTCTTTCCGAAGACTCTTCCTCGACTCAATCAGCTTCAGCCTCTCTTCCTCCGTCGCGTTCGCTAGGGTTTCTTCCCATTCCTTAAGCTTTCTCTCTCCTTCTTTCCTCTTCTGCTCCTTCTCCTGTGCCTTCTTCTCAGCTTTCTTCGCTTCGTATCTTTGCTGCTTCAGCTGCTTCTTCTTAGCATTCTTCGACAGAGGAGGCGAAAGGTTTACCGGAGCCGGTTCAGATTCTGGTTTTGGCTGGTTATCGAAGCAGCCGTTGTCGTCGTCATTGCCCGTCGCCGCCGCCATTGCCGCGAGAGAGCAAAGAAGAAGGAAGGGAGGTCAAAAAAAAAAAAAGAAAGTGTCAAAACGACGTCGTTGTTCTTGAAACTAATGGGCCTGTTTGTTTTAAAAATGGGCTTTAGAATGGGGTAAAAAGGTAAAGAGAAGAGAAAGTGAGGGACCATATATATAAAATAAGAGAAAATGAGGAAGCGATGAGAGACACAAAGCCGTCGTAAGTCAGCTAATCGGGGCTCTTGTTGTTTAGAGAGAGAGCTCAGATCAGATGTGGCTTTCTTCTTCTTCCTCTTCCGTAGAGTGACTCTGAGAACATCAAATTCCACCTTTTTTGTTTCCTTGTTCGTTTATTAGGGCTCCTCTCTAACAGCGTCGGTTTAAGAGTTGTCTGTTTCACTCGCTATGGCTCAGAAGCCGGAGGAACAGTTGAAAGAGCTGGGATCGAAGCTTGACCTACCTCCTGTTTCCAAAGATTCGTTGCTCAAACTCTTAAAGGTGATTCCCCATCTTCTACAAAGTTTCGATTTTTCGTTTGGAGGGAACTTTTTTCCATCTTTGTTCCTTGTTTAAATTCGGAACCGAATATAAAGTTTTCAGCTTTGTAGATCCTCTTCCATTCTGGGTAATGCTCATTAATTGAGCTAGTCTTTTCTTCTTTCGACGTGTGTTAGGGTTAGTTTGTACCATCTTTTTCGTTTACGCTTAGATTGTTCTTGCGAAATTAGGTCACTTGGGATTGTTCCTAGGACAACCAATTCATTTTCTATATTTGCGACTTTTCCTTTTGTATGATGTCTGCTGTTAGAATGTCGACTTGTACTCTCTACATTGACTAAGATGTGTATTTATCATCCACCTTTGTGGAAGTGTGATTTGCTTTTGATTGGTTTCATTGGGGTGACTTGGTTGGGTTAGTTTACTAAGATATCTCTCTCTTTAAACACTTTTGCGTACAATACTGTGACTAATCAATCAAAAAAACTTGTGGTCTCCTTAACTTGTGTGTTGCTACATGCAGGAAGCTGCTGTTTGTCTTTCTGAGTTGGAGCAGTCTCCACCATCTGCAGTGCTCAAGTCCATTCAGCCTTTTCTTGATGCAGTTATTAAACCTGAAATTCTCAACCATCAAGACAAGGATGTCAAGCTTCTTGTTGCAAGCTGCGTTTCTGAGATAACTCGTATTACAGCACCTGAAGCGCCTTACAGTGATAATATTATGAAGGTTGTTTGTCCTGAATTTTCTCTGGCACCGTGATCACAGACATGTCCACTACTGATTTCTTCTGTTTCCTATCTTGTTTCAGGATATTTTTCAACTGATTGTGAGCGCTTTTGCTGGGTTGAATGATGCCAGTGGTCCATCATTTGGAAGGAGGGTTGTCATTTTACAAACGGTTGCAAAGTACAGGTCATGTGTAGTGATGTTGGATCTTGAATGTGATGATCTGGTGAAAGAAGTATTTACTACATTTCTTGATGTTGCTAGGTGGGTTTCACTTTCAACCTAGATTTCTTTTCAGATTGATTAAAAGTTCCGCTGATTCACAAAACATCTTTAAATTTTCAAATTTTTAGTTGTGCTTTTCGTTGCTGTTCTTGGCTAGTAATACAAAATATGAATGGTTTCTGTGATTTTTTTTCTTTTCTTTTGGGCTTCATACTGAAAGATTGTTTTATTTCTGAATGTGCAGAGATGACCATCCGGAGATGGTTTTCTCATCAATGCAAAATATAATGATTGTTCTTTTAGAAGAAAGTGAAGATGTGCAGGAGTATCTTTTACTAATTTTACTCTCTAAATTGGGCCGCAATAGAAGTGTGAGCATTCTGACTTTGCTGGATCTGGCTTCCAATTTAGGATTCGTTGTTTTATGGAATATCAGACACCTCATATTCTGCATTTATGATGGCAGGACGTTAGAGATGCTGCAAGAAGACTTGCTATGAAAGTCATAGAGCAGTGTGCGCCCAAAGTTGAATCTTACATAAAGCAGTTCCTTATCTCTTCAATGTCTGGAGATAGCCGAGTTTCCAGCAGTCAAATTGACTACCATGAGGTTATCTATGATTTGTACCGCTGTGCTCCTCAGGCCCTATCTGGAGTTGCACCATATCTCACTGGAGAGCTTTTGGTATAATTTTATTTTTGGTCTGTTGCCAATATCTTGCACGTCAAATGTCATCATGACTCTTGAACCATGCACAATACTTTTATTATTATGTATTTTGTTTGAATAGTCACTTTTATCCAATTGTTGTTTCAATACTTCATGTGGTATGAGCTCATCTTTTCATGTAGATTGGTATTGAATAATACATAATGCATACTATTAACATATGCAGGCGGATAAACTGGAAACTCGTTTGAAAGTGGTTGGATTGGTTGGAGAGTTGTTTTCCTTGCCTGGGCGTGTCATCTCTGAAGAGTTCGGTTCAATTTTTTTGGAATTTCTGAAAAGGCTGACCGATAGGGTAGTTGAAGTTAGGATGGCCATCCTTGACCATATTAAGAACTGTTTGCTCTCGGATCCTTTGAGAGCTGAGGCTCCTCAAATTATATGTAAGTCTTTCTTTATCATGCCATTAATATACATTAGAATTGACTAATCTTATGGTGTTAATACTTATGTAGCTGCTCTCTGTGACCGGCTCTTGGATTATGATGAGAATATCCGCAAACAAGTTGTTGCTGTTATTTGTGATGTGGCTGTGAGTGCATTGACTTCGATTCCAGTTGACACTATGAAGTTAGTTGCTGAACGGCTTCGTGACAAAGCTGTACGTTTTATGTATTCAGTCTGGATGTCTCTGATAGTTGCATATTCAAAGCTGTACCATTTGAACTCAGAGTTCTTTTTCTAATTCAGATACTAGTAAAAACATACACAATGGAAAGGTTGACTGAGTTGTTCCGGGTATATTGCTTACGGTGTACTGATGGGAAGGTAGACACTGGCGATTTTGATTGGATTCCTGGGAAAATCTTGAGATGTCTTTATGACAAAGATTTCAGGTGGGACATTTGTCTAAAACATTTTGAACCCTGCCTGGCTGGCTCCTTTTCTTATATTTTTGTGGTTTACTTAATTCTAGTTGAATATTATCGTACCTTTGGGAAAGATGTTCTAAATATTTTATGTGTTGCAGGTCAGATACAATTGAGTATATTCTATGCAGTTCACTGTTTCCTAGTGATTTCTCTGTAAGAGCTAAAGTTAAGCATTGGATACAAATCTTTTCCGGGTTTGACAAAGTGGAGACCAAAGCTTTTGAGAAGATACTGGAGCAAAGACAAAGGTGTATTTGATGACTTTTTTTATTGCACTTAAATTATTTTGAATGATCGTTATCATGCTGTTCATTTTTTCGATACTGAAGATTGATCTTGGAGAATTTTTTGACCTTTAGGATACAACAAGAAATGCAAAGATATTTGTCAATCAAGCAGACGCAACAGGTTCGACCAAATCTAGTTGTAGATTTTTTCTTTTATAAATTTCTGGTTGGAATTTTTCCCTTTTAAGTTTCACCATCTAGAACCTTATGTTCTGTCTGAATGCAGAGTGCTGATGCTCCTGAGATTCAGAAAAAGATCCTATTTGGATTCAGAGTTATGTCACGTGCATTTTCCGACCCCCCAAAGACTGAGCAAAACTTTTTAATTCTTGATCAACTGAAAGATGCTAATATCTGGAAGATTTTGACTAATCTGCTTGATCCCAACACTAGCATAATGCAAGCGTCCAGGATTCGGGTGAGAATAACAAGAAGTTTGTATTTACATTTAGATTTACTTTCGACAACCTTATAAATGGTTTATGGTTTTAATTTGTGTGCAGGATGATATGCTCAAAATACTCTCTGAGAAGCATTCTCTCTATGAATTTCTCAGCACTCTCTCCATAAAGTGTTCTTATCTGCTATTCAGCAAGGAATATGTGAAAGAGATATTAGCGGAAGTATCTGCTAGAAAGTCGTCTAACAATATATTGGGGATCCAACCTTGCATGGACTTCTTAGCGGTAAAAATTGATCTGACACATCATTTAAGATTTACTAACTTTCTGTCAATAAATTTGTTTTGGCTTTTGTTTTATTTTTTCAAAGTTTTGGCATTTATTATAGCCGAGTATATCCATGCTCATGAACATATTTTCTTTTACTTACTACAAACTCCGCCGGGTTGATGCTTGTTCATTGATTTTTTTAGCTCCTGGCATATTTCTGTCCATCATTGTTTGATGGTGCTGAAGAAGAACTCATAAGTTTCCTTAAAGAAGATGATGAAATGATAAAGGAGGGTACTCTAAAAATTCTGGCAAAAGCAGGTGGTACCATTCGGGAGAATCTCATTGCTTTAGCGAGGTACTATATATATATTCATCTTTTTCATAAAGCTTGATCTCACTTCTTTCGTTAATTGCCAATTTCTGATTTATATTGTTTCTCCTTTTGTCCCATTAAAGTTCTGTGGACCTTTTACTGGAGAGGATTTGTGTTGAAGGAAACCGCAAGCAGGCTAAGTATGCTGTTCACGCACTAGCATCAATAACAAAGGATGATGGCCTGAAGTCGCTCTCTGTTCTATACAAGGTGACAATTCTGTTGAGTCATGGATAGTTTGCTTAAAAGTATCACTATCTGTAGTTGATAATTAGCTTGTGGAAACTCTGGTTTTTATACTTGATTTGTAGAGACTCGTGGACATGCTGGAGGACAAGAGACATCAGCCAGCTGTTCTTCAGTGTCTTGGATGCATAGCGCAGATTGCGATGCCAGTCTATGAGACTAGAGAAAGCGAAGTAGTTGAGTTTATTAGAAGCCACATCCTCAAGCTCAAAAGTGTATGTATTATTAATGTTTTGTTATCCGCCCTCTCTATCTTTCACTGGTTTCCCAGATTTCTTTTCATTTTTAATTGAAAGACACTTGAACCTCTTTGCAGGAAACTGTAGATGACAAAAAATTATCATGGGATGACAAAAGTGTAATTTGTCAACTGAAGGTTGGTACCTGACGAAAAGTTTCTTATAACTAACTTCACTTATAGTTGCCAATGTTTGTTTGACCTTATGTTAAAGTGATCAAGTAATTTCTCTCTTGTCCGGTTAGTTTAAAACTCTTTTTTTCCTGATAGATATATGGGATCAAGACGTTGGTTAAGAGCTATTTGCCTTTTAAGGATGCTCAGCTTCGTGCGGGTGTTGATGATCTTCTTGGAATACTAAAAAACATTCTTTCCTTTGGCGAAGTATCTGAAGATCTAGAATCAAGGTTGGTAGATGTGTTAAATATGCTAAGAGGTCATTCTTCTTTAAAATTTGAAGGCACTCATGCTCAACCTCTCCACAGTTCTGTTGACAAGGCCCATTTGAGACTTGCTGCTGCAAAGGCAGTCCTCCGCCTTTCTAGACATTGGGATGATAAGATACCTATTGAGATCTTCCATTTAACTTTAAAAACCCCCGAGGTACCATCCGTCAATTTTGTTTTCCATTCACACCTCCCATCCAATCCTTCATCTGATCTGGGTTCTATTTTAACTTTTAACAATTTTTCTTAACCTCTTCTGTAGATACCATTTCCTACAGCTAAGAAAATATTCCTCGGGAAAGTTCACCAGTATGTAAAGGATCGGGTTTTGGAGACAAAGTATGCCTGTTCATTCCTATTTGATATCACTGGATCAAATGTTCTCGCATCAGAGGAGGTATGTCATCGCCCTTCACTTGAAAACACATATATAATGTTTCTGAGTCGAGAATGTTGACAATCTGGCTATAAACTATGCGTCTGGATTGGCATACAGGAGAAACACAACCTAGCTGATATCATACAGCATTCTTATCAAACGAAAGTGCGGAAAATTTCTGCTCAGACTGATGCAAATTCAGTGACTCTCTACCCTCATCATATCCTTCCTTATCTGGTTCACGCACTTGCGCATCATTCTTGTCCTGACGTTGAGAAATGCAAAGACGTTATGGAATATGAAATGATATATCGGTAATTTGTTTTCCTGTTTACCTCGATATGCCACCACTTTTCTCTTTCTATAACTGTGAAATTAGTGATTTCAGTTATTTGTTTTTTTCTATTGATAATTTATGCCTACTATTTCTGATTGTTTATTTCAGCCAATTATACTTGATCATTTCTATGTTGCTCCATAAAGAGGAAGACGGGAAGACTGAAGATATTGATAAGGAACATGAGTACGTTCCCACCATTGTTCTTATCTTCCATAGTATAAAACAGTCAGAAGATGTCACTGATGCAACAAAGTCAAAGGTTGGTAAAAGACTTTCTTGAGCTTGTTCTATTTTACAGCAGTCATGTCAGGACTACTTTTTATAATGATTCTAAGCATGCCGGTATAATGAATCACACTACTTGCCACTGTCGTGGTGCCATGGGGCTAACATCTCATAACTTATATTAACAGAACTCACATGCGATCTGTGAGCTTGGGCTGTCAATAATCAATCACTTAACTCAGAAAGAGCCTGATATACAAGGGGAAATCACACCTGTATCGTTGCCTCCGACGCTTTACAAACCTTCTGAAAAAGTTGAAGGTGACAAGTCTCAGGTAAGAACCCAGAAATTTTTCATGGTTGTGGGTTCAAATTTTCATGATGAGTTCACCAAGAATTCTTTGGCAACCTGAGCTCTCTGTCGTATTTGCTTATAGATTGCTGTGTTTGACCTCATATTTTATTCTGGTTTGTGTTTTCTAACCATGGACAGGTAGGTGAAGAGAAATTGTGGCTAGCTGATGAGACTGTCCGGGCACACTTCAGGGCTCTCAAGTTGGAGAGTCATGCTGATGCATCTGTATGTTATTCAACTTGAAAATCTGAGTTGTAGTACATAGTGATTTCTGTATTAATCCATATTTCCCCTTTCAGGTGATCCCCCAAACTTCGGAAAATGAGGTTATGATTGATGGGGAAAGTGATGGAAATGAAATTCCTCTGGGTAAAATTGTAGAGCGTTTGAGAGCTCAGGGAACCAAGACTAGAAAGGGCAAAAAGAATAAATCTGTACCACCTGAAGATGAGAATGGTAAAAATGATGTCGATGTTTTGAAGATGGTGAGGGAGATAAATCTAGATCACTTGCAAATGCTGGATAAATTCGAATCCAGTAATGGACATAAACATTCCCCTGGTGAGGGAGCAGAGATATGTCAAAGAGATCAGAAGGGTAACAAAAGGAATGTTGGTGATGCAACATCAGTAGTTTCAGTCCCTAAGCGCCGGAGATCATCTTCTGGCCATAGTCCTTACAAGTTCTCAAACAGTGGTCCTAAAGTTCCACTGAAAGGTTCTGAAGATGAGTTGCATCAAGAGAGAGACATGGACAAAAATGTCTCTTCGGACTCGCACGATGAAAATTCAGACCAAGAGAAAAGATTAGCAAGCATCTCTCCCCGAAAGAGAAAGAAAAGCTTATCATCAAAATTAAAGATTACAGAATCTGATTGGGCTCTCACTGATCTGGAGAGGGTAAAAATCATCAATAGCATCGTACCCTTTGTTTTATTTCACTCTAATTCTATTTATTGATATTCAATCAATATGCAATTTTTTCTAAGCAGAGTAGGTCAGCAGGAAGTGGTGATAGCAAATTAAAGTCTGCCTCTGGATCAATGAAAAAGCGAAAAAACATGTCAGGACTGGCGAAGGTGCGGAGCTTTACCTTCCATTGATGTTTATCACTGTCACTTTGTGGTAATTGAACATTGTGATAACAAATAATTTCTTGTCCGACCTATTTTCTTGTCCAGTGCTCTACAAACGAAAATAAATTGGTAAATGATGAACTGATCGGTTGCAGAATAGAAGTTTGGTGGCCTATGGATAAACGGTAAGCATCTTTTAGCGACTTTCATTGGATTGACAGTGCAAAATTGATCTCATTGTCTTTATACGAGTTACTATTCTGACATCCATGCAAATCTACACTGTGAAGGAGTAAATTCGTTTAGTTCCCATTCTTAGTCTCATTTTGTTACTTTGAATCCATCTGATGCAATCATTCATTTTCAACAAATTGTGGTATCTTTTTCTACATTTATCTCACCAGAAGTTGCATCTTGGTGAAATAAATAGGTTTTATGAAGGGACAGTTAAATCTTATGATTCCACTAAACAGAGACATGTGGTAAGCTATCGGCACTTTGTTTCTCCTTTGTCCTTTTCTTAGGTTAGTTGGTCCAGCCAACTTTGTACTTTATCCATATGATATCGCAGATACTTTACGAGGATGGAGATGTTGAAGTACTTAACCTAGAGAAAGAACGGTGGGAGCTCATAGACACCGGTGGAAAGCCCACGAAGGTTCTGAGAATTTCTGGTTTTTGGGTTCTGTTGTCAATATTCTATCGTTCCTTTCAGCTTAATAAATATTCTTACAGTATTTGTACCTACTGCAGAAGTCCAGAACATCAAAGGGGAGTTCTAATAAGAAAAGGTAATACTTACTCTCCGCAACATAGTGCAGTTGGCCTTGTATTCGTCTTTTAGCTTATACACAACAATCTTATTCTTTTGTTCCATTGATTTTTTTTGTTTAGATCTTCTGAAAGTAAGCCTAAGAATTTGGATGGCCTACTGAGGGATGAAGACCCAGTTACTACTACGTAAGCGAAATTCTGTCATTAGAAATCCAAATACGAGTCACGAGTCATTCTATTGTTAACCTTTTGTTTTTCTCGGGACTGCTATCTTTTCTAGGCCAAAAGGGAAAAGAACTCCTAAGAAAAACTTAAAACACACACACCCAAAAGGCACACCAAAATATCTTTCTTTAGAACATGAGAAACTAGAGAGCAGAAACAAGAAAAGACGATCTTCTGCCATACCAAGTAAGCTCCATTGGGATCCACTGTTTTGTTAGCAATCCCTACTGCTTCTAAATTCTTTCAGCCTATTTACTTTCATGCAAACATACATACAGCAACGGTGTTAATCTTATTACACAATGCAAGATTCTTTTTTGTAACTGAGTTATTCTATTTTGAAATGATTCAGTAGGGACAGAATATAGTGGGGAGGCTGGCGAAGAGAAATCAGAGTCTGAAGGAAAGTTGTTGAAAGAAGGCGAGGATGATGAGGAAGTTGTAAACAAGGAAGAAGATTTACAGGAGGCAAAAACAGAGTTGAGTGGGGACGCTGAGGGGAAAGAAGCTGAACATGACAACTCAGATACTGAAGGGAAACAAGAAAACAATGAAATGGAGACAGAAGCTGAAGACGATGCCGAGGATGCTGAGACTTCTGACAATGAGACTCTTGTATCTACCTACCTTTCTCTTAAATCTTTCAAGCAGCATAGACAGAAAGATGAGTAGAGAGTTCTGATATGTGTTTACTTTCGAATGCGTGTGCAGGGAGCGTGGAAAAGTAAAGTGGGTAAGTCAATCTCGAGGAAAACAATATAGGTTTGTCGTATGCCATAATGTAGAAGAAATTGCGGTGATTGTCCCTAAGTATTGGTGGTCTCTGGATTGCTGTGGTGTATATGTGGTAAAAATGTGAGATTTGTAGGGTTAGTGATACATACTTGTTCTAACCACCATGTTGGAAAGAATAATAGGCAGAAGAAGCTCCTCCAGAAGCTTATGTGGTCATGTATTGTAGCCTCTGTGTGTGTTTATTTGTAGGTTTGTTTTATGTTTTCTGTAATATTTACAACTTATATTCCTTAACCCAAAGTGCTATTCTCTTTTGAACTTAATTACTTTGCCATTTTCTTTATGTAAACTTGTTTTGATTAGTGTATCGCTTCTCCAAGAATGATGATGAAAATAAGCAGAATCACGTTTCAAATCATGAAAGTTTTTCGGTTCAGATGCCAACTACTTAGCTTGCGAATTTAAAAGAACTAAACAGAATTAAAACAATACAAATGTACAACTGCGAAAAGAAACGCAAATAGGGAAGAACAAACAACAAAATGTTGTTCCTCAAGCCACACGCCTAGCCAAACGGAGCAGGTTAAAACCGGCACTCAACTATAACTGATTATATTGTAAAATTGTTAAGCCTCGCATAGTGATTTTGTCCACAACTAATCTCGTGCAACTCCGTAGGGAGTTTTGTATATAATGGTTGGACGAGTCTAGAGACCATTGATGAAGAAAAGGTGACAAAATCAGTTCCAACGAAATAACGAGCCTATGGGTTTGCTTGGAAACTTGAGTCATACAACATATGGTTTAGAAAACAACTCATAGTTCTTTAGCGAGAAAGACAAGTAATAGGTCAATACGGAAATCGAAGAAGAAAAAACAAGTAAAATGCGCTTAATCGAACAAGCCGAAACCCAAATCTCCATCACTCTCCTCTGCTGGTTCGTCCTGCAACAAAAAAGTTACCAAACAATTAGATAAATAAACCAGGTCATGCTTCGTTAGGCAAAAGGTAAATATACCTTCTTCTTCTCCTCAGCAGCAGGAGCAGCTGAGGCGGCACCACCGGCAGCAGCAGCAGCAGCAACGGGAGCACCACCTCCACCACCAGCACCAACGTTCATGATTAGATCAGTGACGTTACGTTTCTCAGCCATCTTGGCGAATAGCATTGGCCAGTAAGACTCAATAGTAACACCAGCAGCTTTGACCAAAGTGGCGATTTTGTCAGCCTATCCAACACAAGTTCAAGGATATAAACAAACAGAAGCAAAAGATCTCTCTATCCAGAGATATTTATTTAGACATTATTAACAAAACAAAAACACTTGTTCAATTAAAAAAGAAATCCCAATGATGCAATCAAAATTAAGAAAATAGAAACGCAGAAAAAAGGAAGAATACCGACCGTGATAGCAATACCCTCGTCCTCGAGGATCATAACAGCGTAGCTGCAAGCAAGCTCTCCCACTGTCGACATTCCCTGAAGCAAACCAATATTATTCACAGAGAATAAACTCGATAGAAAGAAATGAAGAATCATCGAGAGAGTACCTTAGATTGAAATGCTTTCGCAACACGCGGCTCCGGCTAGGGTTTTTGATACAGAGAGATGGGAGACGCGGCGGCGTTTATAAAGAAAGCATAGCTGGTATCATTAGGCCCATTTATACATATATTGGGCCTTTTATCCTATATGCCTCATACATAAATAAAGATAAGAGCCCAAATGCAAAATAAATAAAAAAAATACAGTAGCTAGAGTGGGTAATTAACAGATTTTCTGGTTTTATATCATCTATGTATGTGTTAGATTGGTGAACTAATCAACGGAGGATATTAAACAGATGTTCTAAAACTAAGTCCTAGAACATAAACAACAAAAATATAAAATTATGGAAATCATTGATATATTGTTCTACAAAGGGAATTAAAAAGGCATACTCACACCCGTTAGCGAAATAGAATCTAAGAAAATACGAAAACTTTGAATCATAATACTAAATTTGAAAACCGTAAGAATTCACATTATTATATGTAAATATATCATACGGTGTACTACGGATTCAACCCTAACTCTATATTATTCTACAAAACAAAACAAAACAAAAATCTAAAAAACTTTATATTATTCAAAATACAAATAATTAATTAATACCGATTGTCGCACAATAGTAGGTTCAAGGCCCAAGAGAGGACGCATGAGACGGATATACAGTGGCATACATGTTGTTACAACCATTACTTTCATATTTAGGAAATTATTTTTTAGTGTTTAGTTATTACTTTTTAAAGTTAGGATTTATGTGTTTATGACTGATCGTTTTGAATGTTCTGGAAAACAAACTCTCAATCATGTCTCTTTCTAAGCCTCCAAAACGCCCTCAGCTAAATCCTTCTGTAGAGGTCTCGTCATTCTGGAAAGGTGTGGAATAAAGTCTCCCACATAATTGATTACGCCAAGAAATTGTTGAATTTGTAGTCTTAAAGCTAGCACGAGCGGAGGGTCGTGTTGACTAAGTCTAGCACGACGAGTCGTATTTACAAGCAAGGGTTCATATTCCAGGTAAAGGGAGCGGTTCGGGCCTCATTGCCATCTGTATTGCTTAACCTACTATTAGGAACTGTGAACCCCGGCGAGTACTATTGACTGCCGTGTTCGACCGTCGTATTGACGGACCGCTTATGCTAACCTTAAGAGAATAACACAGAATCGCGACTGTGTTTAGAATAGAAAGAAACAAGGTTTATGAAGAAGTTAGGAAGTCTGGAAAACTTAGAGAGAAGTTAGAGAAACATTTAGAGAGAGAAAGCTATTATGAAATTTTATGATATTTCAAGTTGTGATTTCTTACAAGGGGTACACACTTATTTATAGGAGGATTTAAGGCGCTGACATAAGCGCTTACCTCAGCGATACATCATCGCTTACATCATTGCTTACATAATCATTACATCAGCGATTACATCATCGCTTACATCATTATTTATTTTACATGATTTTAAACATATCATATTATATTTTATTTATTTTATATTTTCACATACCGTTTAATGATCCATTTCGAACTCCAGCATATGTTCTTCACAACATCCATAATGATCATCTGGACATTCATACGAGTCTTCAATCATTCGTGCATCTTCTCCTGGTTGAACATTTATGTAGAATTTGAACTTCTCTTCGATATCTTCAACATTTACTTCATCATCTGGGGATTGAGCGTCTTTGAAGTAATCGGCACAGTAATCTTGAGAAGTCACCTAGGGAGTTGTTTCTTCTTGTTTATCTTCTTTTGGACTGCTTGGTTTTCCTTTGTTGAACTTCATCATGTGATACTGTAAATCTTCATCAAGTTGCATCTGATAGTCGACCGGATAATAAACCCAGTTGGGTATGAACGGAATGGGGAACGTTTGTCTTGCATTGTTGAGGTGAAACGCATGAGTTTGAAAGTTCTCGTATGCTTCGTTGTCTTGAAGGTTGAAATCTGGACGAACTCCTCTTGAAAAATCGCCGTGATGAATAAGAGTTGGGAGAGCGAGGATTTTGCTTGTTTTGCGGTTGACCTTGACGGGACGATGAAAGAAGTAGATTGAATGTGGATTGAAGAATGGGTTGAGTCCACCTCTCTTCAGCTTTTTGAATGTTAGATTTGTCGCATTTGCGGATCTTCGTAGTTTTCCACTCCAGACAGTCAATGGTGAAAACCACCTTAGGAACGTTGAGAAGCTGTCTCTTTTGTCTTGAACTGTAACATCTTGGGAAATGAAGACATATCCATTTCTATACGAATTTTTAAATTGTCTCTTTTCAACTTTAGTTTGGTAAGTGGGTAAGGTTTGTAAGTTTTTTTTCTTGTTAGGTTTCGTGTTTCCTATGTAACCTTTTATTATTTGTGGAAATTAAAAAAATAAAAAAAATGAAATGTGAAATGTTTATTACGCAAATTCAAATGGTCCTCTATTATTAGACCGAGTCAAAGCGTGTCAGAGGCCACATCTGATTTCAAGTATATTCATACTATTATAAAACAATTTTGAAAGTCTTAATTTTCTGTTTTCGTGGTAAAAAGAGTTTGATTCACTAATTTTATAATGACGATTAGGTTTACCTAACTTTTGCAGTAATTAATTCATTACCGTTACCGATACGTTGTTCAAAGAATCAAATATATATGATGTCCACATCATCATCCAAATCATCATATTTTAATTTTGTGTAGATTCTACATATTTTATTTTCTTGTAACTCTGAAATTCCTTTAAATACACTGAAAACACCGACCATTCGGTTGAGAAAGACACCATCTTCACCAGGTCAGAACAGTCTGTAAAGAATGATACCTCTTGATTATCTGCACCAATCATACACTTCATCACCCAATGGAGGGCCTCGACTTCTGCATGTAGTGGAGATAGACTTCTACGGAGGTTTGCAGCACCCATGGTTGGCGGTTCTCCATTTGATGATGTACATAACCATCCTGTACCGGAGAACTTATCACTTTCTTTCCATGATTCATCCACAAAACAACGGTATCCCGAATAAAAATGAAATTAAAACAATAACAAAAAAGTTAAATTAAATATTAAAAACGAAAAAATAAATATACAACAAAACATATAAATTTTTTGAATAAAGATTGGATAAATTTAAAATTAGATTATTATAACTTAACTTATAATGAGTAAATAGTTTTTAATGACTAAAGATTAGGAAAAAAAAACTTATCATATATTTAAATGGTACAACAATCATTTTTAAGAGTTACAATTATTTAATAGAATAAAAAAATAAGAGTTAAATGAAAATACCAAATTTAAAAGTTTTTACTTAAAATACAAAAAATAATTCATTTCTAAAAAATATACATTTAAAATTTGAGAATATATTTGTTAATGTTAAAGTATCATGATACCGATTAAAAATAAGAATAATAAAAAATCACTATTAAAAATAAAGTAATATAATCGAATAATAAAACTGTGTAATAATAATATTTGAGAATGCTATTTGGAAATTAGAAGTAAGAATAATTTTATTTTTAGAAAAGATAAACGTATTTTTAAATTAGAATAATTTTTACGAGTTTGTAAGTTACACATTTTAAGAAAATCAATATTAAGAATACTATCTAGAATTATAATATATGTCAAATTATATACGTGAAAAGAAAACTTTGTATTTTTCAAATGGTCAAGATAAAATGCAAAATTTGACGTTAAAATACGTTGTTTATGAATATGAATGAGTTCATATATGAGATTTGTTGTCTTTAAAACAATTTTATATGTACCAAAACATAGTCAAAGAAACTTTATGACAAACATTCTCCATGACAGATTTTTTTATGTTCATTTTAATAAAAAGATAATGCAACTTATAAAAAAAAAGTATTGAAAGATAGGAAAAAAAACACAGATATGACATATCTTGATAACTAGTTCATAGTCGAGTATGTTATATGTGAACTAAGATAAGGTGAAAAATAATAAATATCGGTAGACGACGAGTGAATAGAAAAGAGCGAGAGAAATCGTAGTAAAAAGTGTGAGAATTTTTTTACTACTTTAGAAAGGTAATGCACATGAATAAAGTAAAATCTTTTAAAATTCAAATGATTATATTTATACTCAAAAATTTGTATTGATAAAAAATTTAAATTAAAATTCCGCACAACGCGCGGGTACATAAACCACTGATAATAATAATAGGGTGCTTTGGATAATTTTACAGTTTTTCACTAATTAGATACTAGTAATATACTATTACGGTCAAAACGCATGTTAAGGCTTTTGTTTGGTCTAATAACATTCTTTCTTTATTATAGCAACCTCGAGACTCGAGTCGAGACCATGGAATTTGTCTTTAAGAAGACAACATTTGTATGAAAACGATATTTTCAATTTAAAAAAAAAAAACAAAAATCTGATTGAGAATGATGATGATACTCGTCGCCTCCGCGTAAGTAGCTGCGTTAATCTCAAGAAGACGAAACCAAATCTTTTTGTTTTGTTCAATTCTCTCACAACCACAAGAAGACGATTTTGTATTCTTGTTTCCAAACTGGTAAAGTTGGTTTCTTAGTTATTTGGTTTTTTCCCCTAAAGCTGGTAAATTTCTCAGTGATACTTCCTTTTCTGGGAGCTTCTTCGCTGCTTTACTCAATTCTTTTTAGGGTTCAACCCACAAAGTTTGAGCCTTTTTTTTGATTTGCAGAGTCCTCTGTGTGTCTTGGTTTCTCTCTTGATCAAGGTCTGCTTGCGTTTTATGTATCTTACTCGCTAGATAGATGTGTCTGTAGCATTTATTATTTACTGGTACAAGTGTGAATCTTTCCCAGAATTAAGTCTTGTATCAAGAAGCTCCCAAATAATTTTTGGGATTGGTGTAGTTGTTAACATGTATATATATTCTAGGGATTGAATGTTGAATGACTCGTGGTTCCTTCTCTTTCTCTGTGTCTTGGTTGTTATATTCAATTGATTGTCTTATAAAGATAGTTGCTTTGGCTCTGTTATTCACGAGCATTATAAAGTTGGTAGCTTGTGCTTGTAGAATCTGAGATGGGCGAGCCACTGGGACTGCTCCAGGTGACTGTTATTCAAGGAAAGAAACTGGTGATCCGAGATTTCAAGTCAAGTGATCCTTATGTGATTGTCAAATTAGGAAATGAGGTAAGTTTGGTCAGTGTTTTGCATTATTCTTGGCAATTAGAACAAGTGTTTGTGTTTCTACCAAGGAAAGAAGTGTCTTGTTGTGTTTATTTATCGGTTGATGTGTTGTTTTGAAAACCAGTCAGCCAAGACCAAAGTGATCAACAATTGCCTGAATCCAGTGTGGGATGAGGAACTCAGCTTTACACTGAAAGATCCTGCAGCAGTACTCGCATTGGTATGTCTACATATCTTCATGAATCTTTCCTTTTGTGACCATCATGATCATGATACTGAGATTGTTAATGGGGTGGTGCAGGAAGTGTTTGATAAAGATAGGTTCAAGGCAGATGACAAGATGGGTCATGCCTCTCTCAGCCTTCAACCGCTTATCTCAGTTGCTAGGCTAAGACATGTAGTCCGCATTTCCTCTGGCGAGACAACGCTTAGGAAAGTGTTACCGGGTCCAGAGAACTGCGTATCTCGGGAGAGCACAATCAGTTGCATAGACGGAGAGGTGGTGCAGAGCGTGTGGCTGAGGCTGTGTGCTGTTGAATCGGGTGAGATTGAGTTGAAGATAAAGTTGATTGATCCTCCTGGAACAAACAAGTAGCAATAGGGTATTTTATGTTAGTCTGTAACACGAGACCGTTTGTCTAGTATAATTGCAACATCAGTGTGGTCTTGTCTTGTTTCCAAGTGTGCCTTTGTGACCACTCACCAATTTATTAGAAATCTTTGAGATACGTTATGCCGCTCTCATCCCGTAGCTTGTTCCTTTTTTCCTTGTGTGTACATTTTGAGTGTTTTGATGGAAACTCCAGGTAAACTAACCATCAATGGCAGATTCTCATATCTCTCTACCTTAATAAAACACTTGGAAGAAATTATCTGGCAACAAAGCTATCACGCATACCAAAGTTGTGGTGGTGGAACCGACACTGATATTGGTATCTTACGTCACGCACACACTTTGTTGTTATCTCTATATCCACCTTTTTCTTTTTTGGCTCAATTATGATCTTTCTCTTTCTCGTTTCCTCGTAATCTTAACACAAGCCTGATCGTCCTCATCAGCCACCAAACCAAAGGTGTTGCATTTTTCTTTCACCAAGAACTCAAAAACTGTGATCTTTCTTTTGATTCTCAACATCTCTGCATTTTCTGAATTGGCTCAGACATAATTTCTTCGGTGACTTCCATGGCTCCGCATGTCTCTGATGATTCCCTACAGCCTCGAGGTTCTCTGTTTCTCCTGTCTTTACGAGCTTGTTGTTCTGTTCCAGTTTACTGTTTTCTGGTTGGATCATCATGTATTATCCTTTGATCCAGCAGTAATGGCTACTTACAGTTGAGTTCTGGTGTGTGTAGATGTTTGTGTTGTGGGAGTGGCGCGAACGCCTATTGGGGGCTTCCTTGGCTCCCTCTCGTCTTTGACTGCCACAAGACTTGGGTCCATAGCCATTCAAGGTAGTTTAGTTATATTACTACTCTCTGTCTTTGATTCAGCCAAGTTATCATTCTCTTATACTGCTTCTCTCATAGCCGCACTTAAGAGAGCACATGTTGATCCGGCCCTTGTGGAAGAGGTCTTCTTTGGCAATGTCTTAACTGCCAATCTTGGGCAAGCACCAGCAAGACAGGCTGCACTTGGTGCTGGGATTCCCTATTCTGTGATCTGCACCACTATCAACAAAGTCTGTGCTGCAGGAATGAAATGTAATAACCTTTTATTTATTACTCCAGATGATCATTCAAACGGTCTATATATCACTGCTTTTCCTTCACTTGTAATCTCAGCTGTAATGCTAGCGTCTCAAAGTATTCAGCTCGGCTTGAATGATGTTGTTGTTGCTGGTGGGATGGAGAGCATGTCAAACGTACCTAAGTACCTCCCGGACGCAAGGTACTTTCTGAGTTTCCTAACTCAAACTTTGTAGAAAAAAAATCTAAGAGAGGCAGATTCTTTCGATCTGTTTTCTCATCTCTGATTCTTGTTAGCAGAAGGGGTTCTCGATTAGGCCATGATTCTGTCGTTGATGGTATGATGAAAGATGGACTTTGGGATGTATACAATGACTTTGGAATGGGAGTTTGTGGAGAAATATGCGCTGACCAGCACCATATTACAAGAGAAGAACAGGTCACTCATGTTCAACCTTGATCTGTCTTTCCAGTTTGTTCCCGTGGACTCATTACTGATGATGAGACTGTCTCGCTGTCGTACAAAATTTTTCTTTTCCTAGGATGCATATGCTATCCAGAGCTTTGAGCGTGGTATTGCTGCGCATAACACTCAGTTGTTCGCTTGGGAAATTGTTCCGGTACACCTCTCCTTTCCCTGCATTCCAGGAATTCACTTTATGGCATTGTGATGGAATATTGTTCATACACTCATATTGATAGGTCGAAGTTTCTACTGGAAGAGGAAGGCCTTTGGTAGTTATTGACAAGGATGAAGGACTGGGGAAGGTAAATAGTTTAGGAACCGCTGCTTCTCTTAGGATACTTTTGATTGATTTTAACTTTGTTTGGCATGAACCAGTTTGATGCAGCCAAGTTAAAAAAGCTTAGACCAAGTTTCAAGGAGGATGGGGGATCAGTCACTGCTGGAAATGCATCAAGCATAAGGTCATCTTTTATCTCTCAACTTTGTTTCTTCATTTGTAACTCTGCATGCATTTTGTGTTGTTTACTTCCAACAGCCACTTATTGGCTCTGGTTTACGTTGGTGGACAGTGATGGTGCGGCAGCATTAGTGCTGGTGAGTGGAGAGAAGGCTCTTGAGCTTGGACTGCATGTCATCGCTAAGATTAGAGGATACGCTGATGCTGCTCAGGCACCAGAGTTGTTCACAACCACGCCAGCTCTTGCTATTCCTAAAGCTATAAAGCAGGCTGGTTTGGATGCATCACAAGTGGATTACTATGAAATAAACGAAGCCTTTTCTGTAATCGCATTTACTGAGCTCTCAGTGTTTTATAGTTGCTGGGTATGTATATAGAGGTATGACTTTGGCTTGTTTCCCTCACAGGTTGTAGCTCTGGCCAATCAGAAACTGCTGGGATTAGATCCTGTGAGTCATGAAACAAGTACAGTTGTGGATGTTGCAGACTTAATGTTCAGTCTCTGATGATGTATATATAAACAGGAACGGCTGAATGCGCATGGAGGGGCAGTTTCACTGGGACATCCATTGGGATGCAGCGGTGCTCGTATCTTGGTCACATTATTGGGGGTAAGTCGTAAGACCAGGCAACAATGGTATTGAATTGAATCCATCCTGTAAATGTGGTTGAATACTTCTGATTCAGGTGTTGAGAGCAAAGAAGGGAAAGTATGGAGTGGCATCAATATGCAACGGAGGAGGAGGAGCATCAGCAATTGTCCTTGAGTTCATGTAAGCCCCCTCTTTAACTCTGGTAAGCAAAGCATTAGCACAAGCAAGAGATTACATGTCCATTAATGCTTCCCAACACAGTACTTTTAACTTCAACTTGTTGACAGGTCGGAGAAGACAATCGGATATTCGGCACTCTGAAGCCAAGAGATGTTGTTTTATAACGCAAAGCGTATGTATATGGGTAAGTCTGTGTCACAAGACTGTTTAACTTTGTACTTGAGAGAGATGCAATAAAAGTATGTTAGAAAATGAGACGTGTAATGTCTATAAAGTAGATAGATTTACACAATCCGAGGTAAATTGTTGAAGCCAATGATGTTTTACCTTGACCAACAAATAAAAGATACTCTATTAAAGATAATCTGAGGCAAGAGCCTTCGAAGGAGTTTTGAGGACTTCAGAGGAAATCGATAATCAGATAAGTTGAGCATAACCTAGAAGCCTAAAACTGTTGATGTTCAGCCAAAGAGCAGAGCAAAGACCAAAAGAATCACAGCACTCACCCAGATGCTTAGGGAAATGAGAGGTAGATTTCCCACAAATAAATTTGCTACATTAAGAGGATCAAATAATACTATACATAAAACCAGAAGTGCATTCAGTTCAAGATTTATTCTCTTCTTTTCGCTTTACATTTGCATGGCTAGGGAGCGGACACAGCTCAGTACTCGCTTACTCATTTGAATTGCTAGCTCACCTGTAAAATATATATATATCTTAAATGTGGAGGCACAGAAGGAATTCCCTCAGAAGCATTCAGAGGTCATCATCTGCCAGTGTTTCATGACTGGCTTTTCTGTCATCAATGGACATGGCCAGACCGTTGCGGTTCTCAAACTTGTGCAGTTCCGATTCTATGGTTTTGGCTATCACACAACGTTCAGCTTCAGGCTCAGGAAAACCCACGTGGAACGATCCTTGCTTTGCAGGTTCTGCTTGTCCCCGGGTTTCATAATGGTGCTTCACATAGTTGTATAGCTGTTGATGGAAGGGATGATCGATAGAAAAACAATTTGCGCTCTGAGTGTGGTGAGATGACCCAGAGCTTCCACTTCTACAGAAATGTGGGAGGGATGTGAAGTCCATAATCTACGAGAACCACAAGAGTTTTAGACAAGTTGCATTTCACAGCAAGATCATAAAAAAGAAGATGCATATACATATACCTTCAATAATTCATCCTTTCCGCATCCGGATAAGACATGAACTTTTTTCCGTGTCCTCTCTTGTAAAAGAGGTTTTACAACCTGCTAGGAGCTCAATGAGATACACATACGTGCTAAGTAGCTTAACACCCTGAGTTACAAACAAAAGTGAATCAAAGAGGCTTATGGCTTACCTTCCAACATGCGGAAAATATATATGGAGCGTTCACAACATAGTAAGTATTTGTCTTCTCTGGATAGTTGAGATCATCGATGGTCGATATGATAGTCACTAACTGCATTAATGTGAACACTGAAGTTATTAATAAAAAAGTATGCTAATGAATTTAACATCTTTGCAGTATCATTATTCATGAAGCAACTTTGTCCACAGACATGGACTACCATACCTTGATTTGGCTTAGCGCTGAAAGCTTCAACCCCGTCATATCTAGAACCTTGACGCAGGTGGTGATTGGCCGCCCATTCTTCTTAGAGATAGAAGGCTGTAACAGTGTTTTACTCATTACATCAAGAGAGAAAACCGCAAAAAGAAGAGAGTGTAGTCATCTGCCATGTACTCACCAGTAATACACGGTCTCTATATTCATTGATTTGTATGTGGGACTGGACATAGTAGTGAACCTGTATGTGGAAGAAGAGAAGCACATTCATTTTTTGTTCGTCATCTGATTGTCAAAAGTGCGAGAAAACAATGACAGCGTCTTACAGAAGCTTTGTCGAATGTGCTGAGGCCAACGCCAATAGCAAAGACAGGCAAGCCCTAAACATCAAGGCAGAAGCAAATCAAGAAGAAAGAATCTGTTTTGATCAGAAAAGGCAATGGAACCATGGGTACTTGGAAGGCTACCTCTTTGGTGTAACCTGACATTCCTATGAGTTGAGAATCTCGTACGTCCCTATACAACTCAGTAGGAACAATAGGTTTCTGCAGAAACCAAAAACATAAAAGATCAAGTTTCAGCACTCAAACCAGAACAGACCAAGGAAAGAGGGAATGAATTTAACTCACGGATAGGATACTGTCAATTTCATTATCCACCCTCCAACGCAAACACTCAACCAGCTGAAAGTGAGTTAGAAACGGTGTAATCAGACAAGACAAACTGTGGAGTCACTCAAACCACATAAAAAGTTTTGGAGACGTACCATTGTGTGAGCTTTGCATACGTTCCAGTCTCGTGCTTTCAGAAAACGACCCAAATTCTCTCTCAGAAATCCCTGATGGACTCTCTGCAGATCCACAAAAATACCTTCCTTAAAGGTTTAGTTTTTAACCACTATTATAGAAAAAACCAGTCATAGATTCAAACCCAAATCAAATTTGAGTCCACCTAAACTTAAACCTTTATGAGAAATTTTATGGAGAATCTAATGCATCTGTGATCTGCTCAGTTGTTTCTAAGAACAGCTCTAACAAAAGAAAAAACGAACATACCTCATATGTTTCCTTCAATGGCTCCTCAACTAGCACAAACAAATTTGACCAGATTCAGTATTTACTAATTAGAAATCAAAGAAGAAACAGAGAAAAGGTCAGACCTTGATCCATCAGCTCTTGGAATTCATCAATGGCTTCTTCTGAAACGATCCCCATTGTTTTGGCTCACTTCCTCTGCAACCAAACAGAATTGCCCAGAAAATAATATGAAATCTCCAAGATCGACTCTTTTTTTGTTTCTCCTTTTTGTCACTTTGCACCAAACTATGAGTCCATCATTAAAGGTCAAAGAGGTGGTAGGAGAAGAGAAACGACCCAACAGAGATATACACTTTTAATAACCAAGTAGGAGACGAACTACTTTGATTAAGACTGGTCGTGACCAAAAATTAATAAGCAGCTTCTGATTTCTTCTGTGGGATTTGTTGAATAATCCATCAAACTCCCAAAACCCATTTGATTTCCTCTTCCTCCTCTTTGTGTGTGGTTCTTGGTCAATGGCACAAGTAAAAAGTCTGTTCCTTTTTTTCGTTGAGGAAGGTTCAAACTTTGAAATAGTAGAGGAAAATTCTATCGTAGGGTGAAATTCTACAACTTGCTAAAGCTTTGTACCATGTAGGCATGGACTTTCAGATTTCGGATCGGATATATTCGGATTCGGATAATTTTGGTATGAGAGTTTATTATCCGTTCGGATTTTATGACTTTTTGGTTCGGTTTCGGTTCAGATATATTCGGATTCAGATAATTTGGTAGGAGAGTTTATTATCCGTTCGGATTTTATGAGTCATCGGTTCAGTTTCGGTTCGGATAGGTGTCGGATTCGGATCAGTTTTAGAGAAAAAAAAAAAACTAAAAAATTGTTCAATTTAAATAAAAATTGGTTTAGTCTTACTAAAATTTGGTAAAATTTCACAAAAATATGTATAATTTTAACAAATGTAACTAAAAAAATTTCGAAATCTAGGTTATTTAACATATTTTTGTTATTTGCTATAAAATTACAACTAAATATAACTAATAGTTTTGGATATATAATTTTATTTTCGGTTTTCGGTTTGGATGGGGTTCGGATCAGGTAATTCGGATAGGAAAATTCATTATCCGTTCGGGTTTTGTGACTATTCGATTCAGATTCGGTTCTGAATTTTTTGAATCGGTTTTCGGATTTCGGATTTTATGCTAGCCCTAGTACCTTGTATGAACTGGTAGCTGATTTGGTGAGCCTTGTCATTTATTGGAAAAAGAAAAAGATCAAAAGATAGATAGATAATGGTATTCAAAGTTGGTCTCTTTTTATTTTTACTGCTTTTTGGGTCAAATATTCAAAGTTGTCTTTTTTAGAAACGTTTTAATTACTTTTCAAGTGAATTAGTATAAGGGATGTATAAAGAAGAGCAAATTTGTGGCGTATTAGAAGGTTTAGGGGCCGGAGAGATGGCATGGATGAGTTGCTTTATGGGTTATTCAAAGGTCAATATCTTTGTATGGCCTATCACATAAAAAAGTCTTTCTTTGATTTGCAATTCAAAAGACGCAACAACTTTGGTTTTTGGCTCTTTGCTTTGCTTCTTTAATCCATCTTTGTGCTTAGTTGGCCATTGAATGCGAGTTATGTGTGACTATGAATCATGGACAGCAGCGAAACAGACTTGGTGGGCCACTTCTCTTTTGGGCCTAAAACTAAGAGCAAGCATAAAATTAGTCAAAAACTTTGCCCATCACCTAAATATGCCAGCTTTCATCTTTTGGGTCAAAAAAACGATCTATTAAGGGCTTGGAGGATTTTCTTAAATGTAAGAGAGAAAGCATCATAGTTTAATAGCTGCTGATGTACAAGGTTTTGTTGTTGCAATTTTTATGTGTGTTTGACTTTTGATTATTAAAGTATAAAGATTCCTGCTTGAGATTCGGATATTCGACCTTGTACACATATGCATCTTTGATTGTTTATGCTTAAACACTTGCCAGTTGCCAATAAGCAACGAGCAAGCAAAGGACGTTGACCCATTTTTATAGTTTCACATTCTTGACCATGAAAAACTATGAGAAATGATGTAAAATAGACACTTTTTTAACAAATAATTTGCAAAGTAGGTAGTTTTTTTAGAAATTAGAAGGATAGACACTTTTCTCTTTCCTCTCTAATACAACTTTCTCTCTAATAGAGATTTTAGTAAATGACTTATATATCCTTTGTTGTTTTGTTATGTAGCAAGACAAAGACAAAACTATTATTTTTTCTCTTTCTTTTTTTAACTTAAACTTAAATACTTTTATTTTGTTTTGTTTTGTTAAAAATTCTTCATAAAAAATTACATAAACATATTAATCTTTAAAATTTTATTACATAAACATATTAATCTTTAAAAATTTTAAGTGAATCTTAAAAGTTCAATTTTGCTATATTTTACATTTTTTTAATTTAATCTCAATCCGTCGGTGTACACAATAATGTAAAAAATGGTCTACAAATTGTAGTGTACGGCGATAATATAAAAAATTAATGTATATTATTAATGTTAAAGTGGTATACAATATGTAAACAGTATACAAGATGGTGTACAAACGACAATTGATAGAGGTGTACATGTACATAATACGATGGTGTACGGAGATGATGTAAAATATGGTGTACATAAAACGATGAGATAGTATGTCGCACCATATACCACCTCGTGTGTAGTCTACAATATCGTACACCCACCTATTTTGTACTTGTACATCACATACAAAGAAAGAACCATTTTTGTCAAGTGATAATGTATAAAAAAATATTTACACAATAGTGTACGAGATTGGTGTACAGAGGAGTGTACAAACGTTAGTGTACACTACGTAGAAATGTACAAACATTATTTCAATTTAATGGTATACACAATCGTGTTTGTATTAATATTATGAACAATAATTACTTCAATTTACAAATATAAGACAAATCGATGTACTTAATGACTTGGTGTACAAGTTAGTGTACAAAACTATGTTTAAAATGCTGGTGTACGAGATTGGTAGCAGAATATATACAAGTCATCTTTTTTTTTTAAGATTCTTTTTAAAAAAAAGAAAACAAAAAAGATTAAGAAAAAAAAAAGTAATGATATAATATAATTTGATCCAATAATATAAAAGATTTGAACCCACACAAAAACTAACTCACAAAAGACAAGGGGTAAAATGGTATTTGACTTCTTTCTTGTCTTTTAGTCTATTACACACCACTTCTATCTCACAAAAGAAATAAAAAGTGTCTATTTCACAAATTTCTAAAAAAACTACATATTTCTCAAATTACTTTTATAAAATGTCTACTTTGCTAAAAAGCCCAAAAACTATATATCTTTCTAAAGTTGGATGATGCAAATGTATAATCAAATTTTGTTATACTTACGGAATTTATTTTATTATAAATTGACACATACGTGGGTGGATAAACCTTGTATACGGAAATCGTCATGATATGTAAAAGGTTCAATGTCTTGAAAAGTTCAGGCTTTCACAAACCTCACACGCAAAAATACACCACAATCATCAGGTCATACATTCCACAAGCACATGTAGATTGCACATATATATATTAAAGGAAAGGAAGAATATTTGATGCGGCAGAGAGGGCAAAAGAAGAGCAAAAAAGTCAACGAGAAGAAAACTTGAAATGCAACGGAGGAGCAATGAGATAGAGGAGGAGGAGGAAGATGGAAGGAGAGGACTGGAGAGCGTGAGAGAGAGCCAGTTGGAAGGGAGAAGCAGCGGAACAGTGTCGATGAATGGAGAGGACTCCGTCTATGTTGGGGTTGGGAAAGGAGACTCGAGCATGGAGGCATTGCGTTGGGCTATTGACAATCTTATGACTTCTTCTTCTACTCTTCTTTTCCTCATCCATGTCTTCCCTGAGACTCGCTTCATTCCTTATCCCTGTCTGTATATATCCTTCTCGTCCATTTGTTACCTTTGATTAAATGTGCGTCCCTGCACTCAAGTGTATGTATGATCCGTGTAGTGGGAAGGCTGACGAGGGAGAAAGCAAGTCAAGAACAAGTAGAAAGCTTTATGTCTCAGGAAAGGGAAAAGAGAAGAACTCTGTTGCTCAAGTTCCTTCATACCTGCTCTGCTTCCAAGGTCCCATTTCTCCCTTTCTCTCTATTTTGGTGTTGTTTGGATGCTTAAGAGTGGATCAAGATATATAGTTTGCTAACATATGAGAGAGTAAGTGAGGAACAGGTGAAGGTGGAGACAATACTGGTTGAGAGTGACTCTGTGGCTAAGGCTGTACAAGACCTCATTACCATTCTTAACATTAAGAAGCTTGTTCTTGGGATCGACAAGTCTAATGCTAGGTAATATACACAAGTATGAACCCCACAACTCTTTCAGTTGTCAGATGACAGGACACCCTTCTCTCTTTATGGCTTCTTGTAGGAAAGCAACGACGATGAAAGGAAACAGTGTCCCTGAACTGATAATGAGGAGCTCCGCAGCAGACGTGTGTGAGGTTAAAGTCATATGCCAGGGAAAAGAGATAAATATGGAGCAGGCGACGATGGCGAGAAGCCCAGCTAAGTCCCCAATAGCACATCGACAAAAGAAAGATCAACCCGTTGACCCTTTTGCTTGCATTTGCTTTATCAGTAAGCCCAAAACTAACAGATAATAATGTAAAGAGAGATCAAGATGCAGAGACAATACATTTGATGTTACTGCGTTTTGTCATTCGATAGAGTAAGTGAAAAGGAATTCTGATAAAAACTAATAAGGTTACGAGAAACAGTTACAACATTTTTATAAACTACAGCAGCTTATGCATACAAACAAGCATACAATTCATGGCAATCTATAAAGAGCGAAACATCAACACCTGATAATCATCTTTACCACAGAGTCTTTAAAGGAAGAATAGAGTAACATATGTCTAACCGTAACGCTAGAAGAAATCAAATTCCAAATAGTTATCAGATCCTTTCTGAGCATTCAGAACCAAACCGGCTGATGTCTTCTGGCTTGATGGTGCCTCTGCAACACTCACAGGTCCCTTTTCCAGCTCAACCGGCTTTGGGATTTCCGGTGGAGTCGCACACCGAATCAAAGCCCAGTTCACACCTTCAAAGAATGGGTGCTGCTTAACCTCAGTGGCTCCCCGTTTGAACCCCAGCCGCTGCTGCGGCTCCTTCATGAGCAAGCCCCGGATGAGGTCTCTTGCTGCAAAACTCACCACAGGTGTTTCTGGGAACCGCAGAGGCTGACCCACCACATTGAACAGTGTTTGTCGGTTTCCCGAGCCCTTGAAAGGCGTTCTCCCAAAGAGAAGCTCGTAAAGGAAGATCCCAAAAGTCCACCAATCCACTGCACTGCCATGCCCTTCGCCTTTGATGATCTCTGGGGCCAAGTACTCGTGCGTGCCCACAAATGACATGGACCGTGCATCGGTTGGCTCGGCTACCAGCTCTGGCAATGGCCTAACCTGATTCGCGGTGTCATTCTTGGGTTTACGGTCTTTCTTAGATTTGCTTGAGAACAAACGTGGGGAGAAGCAAGTGGTGGGGACGGTGCAAGACGGTTGAATGCAGGAGGGTTCAATGCAAGCGGGCTGCACACAGTAAACATTTTTTCGTAATGGATCTGACTCGATGGCGGCAGATTTCACTAGAGTGGGGCTGACAAGACAGCGGAGTGAAAGGTCAAAATCAGAGAGCATTATATGTCCGTCTTCCCGAACTAGAACGTTTTCGGGCTTAAGATCGCGATACACAATCCCAAGCATGTGCAGGTATTCCAAAGCTAGCAATGACTCTGCTATGTAAAATCTGCGACACATTGAAAACAAAACCCTCAGTGAGATGAGAATAAGAAACAAAGTAAATGGCTTGATCCCAAAATATTCTCTTTTGATATTTATCCAATACTTTGTAATAAGATAAAATCAAAGGAAATGCTAATCTTGACAGACAAAGGAAAGATGACTCACTTTACGGCTTGCTCAGAAAAATGCTTCCCCGGCTGGCGTTGCCTGAGAGTATGCAAATCTCCTCCGGGACAGAATTCCATCACCAGGCACGAGAACTTGTCAGTCTCAAAGTGAGTGTAGAGGGTAGGGAGAAACGGATGATCCAAAGACTGGAGAATCTCTCTTTCGGTCTGAGCTCGGAGAAGCTTCTTGCGACTGGCAAGGGATGTCTTGTCCATAACCTTCATAGCAAAGTAACACTTAGTACCGCTCAGCTCAGAGAGATAAACACTCCCAATGTCCCCGCAGCCTAGCCTCTTAAGGAGCCTGAAATGGCTAAGACCTAAAACCCCATCCCGAACCCTAACAGCCTGGATTGCTTCCCATCTCAAGTCGTTGGCCTTGTGGGGTTTGTTGACAGTGCTACTAAAGCTGCTGCAACTACTCTCGTCACTGACATCACTGCTTGTGCTTCCTCTGCAGATACTGCTCTTGCCACTCTCCATGAAATCAAGGCGGCCACTTAGCTTGGCACTTCCACTTGTCTTGCCAAGACTGCTGGTACCATCACTCATTTTGGCTGAAGCAGAGCTGGTCTTGACACTGCCAAAGCCAGATGTTTTCTTTTCATCAATGGTCAATGAATCTACATGCTCAAGAACGGTTGATAGGGAGCTAAAATCGGGTTTACAAACAGCTGGGTCACTAGATCGCTTCCTAAAAGACTCTGGCAACCGTTTACTCTCCGGAATTCCAACAGCACTTGGATTTGTTACTGATCTTTGTAACTGCGTCGGCTCAAAAATCTCGGCTTTGGCTGACTTAGTATTACTACTATTTGAAGAGGAGCGCTTCTGAGCTTCGATTTCAGCTTTATGAGCACTGGGTTTACGAGTAGACGCCATTGGGACACAAAATAGATTATCTTTAGCTAACGGGAAAGACACATCTTCCTTCAAACCCTAGTTGGATCATGAGAACAAGTTAGAAGAAGAACAAAGCCCCACAGCACAAAACTAATGTCTTTGATGTACAAGTAAAAAGAAAGAAAAAAACGCAGATCCCAAATGGGAGAGACGTGATTTCAGGTCGACGAAGATCTAAAATGAGAAGAATAAGACAAGGGAGATCTGGAAACAAGGTAAAGGTAGTAACTTTAGGAGAAACCCTAGAAAGAAGGAGAGGAGGAAGGAGATACCTTGGGTGTGGATTGGCGCAGAGAAGATTCGAATAAGAGAGGAAAGTACAGTATATATGCTTGCTGCTACAATTACATGCATGATGATCAATCACTTCAGCTTCACCATCTCTGTTGCTCTACACACTTGTCATTTCGCCGGATACGGAGGGGAGGATCCAGTCAGTCACACAGCCAAGAGAGACTTACAAAAATAAATTAAAAGACTCTAAAAGCGCTAAGTTACAAGATAATACCTTTCGCCTTTTTTTTGTTTGTGTTAGTATAATACTAGTATTAAATTACATCAATTTTCTATATCCGTATTGGATACAAAAGAAAAAAGGGGTAAAGAGAGTGCGACCAAAAAAAAAAAAAAAAAAAGGAATTAGTGGCTGAATGATCACAAATGTGCGTGATTGCATAAATTGATAATTCCTGAATTTCTTAGAAAAGACAAATGTTAAGCAAATGATGAAAGATTATGTTTTAGTTTCACGACGCAGACAATTAGACCTGTTGTTAGTAAGCATTAATGACTTTGAGAAGAAAAAAGAGAACAAGGCATGCCAATTACTACGATTTGTACTCTCTTCCCTCATTATGTTCCTATGCCCTTTGCAAACTGAGGATGAGTTTCATTATCATTAGTTTTAACTTTGCAGTAGCGGAATATTCGCATCACATGCCGTTTGGATGGGAACCTTTTTAAATCTCTTAACTCAAGAGATCTGTGTTCCTCGATTTACATTTTAGTTTCTATTATCAATAAGCATCACATGTTTCTGGACCAAGCAGGCTAATAATAATAAAGAATAACCCCCCTAAGTACCCTATGACATGAAACCAGCCTGTGCTTTTGGACTTTCCATGAAAATTCTTATTTGCTATTATCAATCCTTCATATGCTTCAAATCCTTATTATTCAGAAACATAACAAAAGAATTCAACTCAGCCTTTATTAAAAGCTAGCACGCCATGTTTTCTGATGATGTGGACCATCAGATTATTAACTTCCCTACGCAATAACAGGGACATAAATGACTGTTTCATTCATGGGTAAAGCAACATGATGATGATGCCCTTACTTACTAGGGAGACTCCATCAGTTTCATCATATCAGAGACCGTGCTTGTGTAATAGTCTGGTTCAATCTCGTTGCCCTCTTTTAGTAGATTTGATTCACTTGTCACCCCTGTTTTGAGAAAGCCTAATCACTGTGAGTTCACTTAAACATTGTCCACATATCGCCATTGATTTGTATTGGCTTGGAAAACTCAAAACAGAATCATACAGTCAATAGCAATGACCTGTTAGGACGAGGAGAGTTTTGCAGCCAGCATTCTGTCCAAACAAGATATCAGTATCTAGCCTATCACCCACCATGCACATTCTTGACGTTTCTGTCCCAAATCTGCAAACACAAGGAAAAACACCTCTTCATCACACAATCCTATATACTGCACACTGTTGTGGGATTTCATGTGCACATACTTTTGTAGCAGAAAGTCCATCATGAAAGTAGATGGTTTCCCAACAACTATTGGTTCTCTTTCAGTTGATCCACACATGGCAGCAACCATACAACCAGCACCTAGAATTACAAGTAAGAATTTGATGCTTTTAAAACCCATCTGCTACTTTGAGTCTAATGACCATACCAGGCCACTCTTGGAGATCCGTCATATGTCCTACTGCATCACGGTTGGTTGCAATGAAAAGACATCCCGGATTCTCGCGTACACAGAGGGTACCGTATCTGCCATTTCCGTTATTGTGTTAGCCTAAACTCTCGGAAACTTGATTAAGGTGCATGCAACAGTTATCCATCTTACTGAAGCTTATAGTAGTTTATATTGGGGTCTAGTCCGACCACAACTGCTCCCACCTGGCAGAGGAAGTCATACATGATTAGAAAATAAAGCAAGATTCTATTTTTGGAGAAGGAATCGAAGTCTTATGGCACAATACGCTTTTATCATGTTCAAAGAGAGAGTTTGATTTCCATTGTGCCCTCTTTTCACCGTCTTCCTGCATGTAAACAAATACTGCTTTAGATAAACAGAGGAATTCCAAGTATTCAAATTTTGACCAAAACATGACACGATCCAAACGTATTCATCAAAACGGTCGGAAAAAAAACTACTTACAGGACCACCGAGACCTGTAAAACCAGCAATCTGGAGCTCCTCAAGAATGCCTTCCCCACCAATCACATAAACCTTCTTGTCCTTATGGAAATTGTTGACTTTGAGGTACATAGCGGCCGCAAATGACGAAGAGAAGATCTCATCCTTGCAAAGGAATCACATTTTTTAAAATGGTAAGCAGAGGAAAAGCGTAGTCGGGAAAAGTGAAGTATACCTGAGTAACAGAAGGGACACCCAAAGATCGGAACTTTTCAGCGTATTGCCTCCTCGATTTGACCGAATTATTGGTCACAAAGACAACATTTTTACCCTGAATATCGCAAAAGATAAGAGAGAGGGGAAAGGAAGGGTGAGAGTAAAACGAAAAGGGAAGAAAGTGCCTTAGAGCGGATTAGGTCCAGAGTTTGGGCGACGCCATCGATGAGCTTTTCACCCTTCCATATAACACCTGGACGGACCGAATCATCAGAGGGTAATTAAGGATCACTATCGAATGAAAAATAGGGAGAAAAGAGTGTACGTACCATCGCAGTCAAATAGGAAAGTGTCGACAGAGTCAAAGAGAGATTTGAAGTTACGGGAGGAGAGAAGCTGAGGCGCCATTGGAGGGAGGAGTGTCTTCTTTTTCTTCTTCTACTTTCCCTTTCGGGAATTTGATGATGATTTCATGATTCTGGCCAGAGTACACTTGGACACTGTTCCATTGAGAGAGGCCCATTATTATCGGGCATGAACATAATTATAAGGCCCATTTCAATTTTGAATTATAAAAATACTAGTATTATACCCGGAAGTCTTTCATATAATTAACTCAAACTTCATATAATTGAGTTGACCTTAATTCCATAGCCTCAAACTTTATCATCTCGTGTTTGTACCCAAAAGATTGTTAATCCAACCACTTTTAATCATTAGTGTGGCTTCTCTCTCCTTCATGCATGAAGTCCTTTCTCTCTCCTTCATGCAGCCCCCCTTTTGTAACAGCTAGTTTCTTCTTCTCCTTCTATATATTTGTATCTCTTTGTACTATTCAGATCTAAGTGAAATATACAGATTCTCTCTGTTCACTATTCTCTCTATTCTCTATTCTCTTCCGCTTATACTTTTCTACATGGTATCAGAGCATTAGATCCTTATTTTCTCGCTTTTTAATCTTCCAATTTCGTTTTTTATTTCTCTGGATATGAAAAACTCAAAACAGATTATCCTTCCTGTTATCCTTAAAGAGGATAATTACTTACTTTGGTCCAGAACTACTAGAACTGTTCTTTGCAGCCGTGGTTTATGGAATCATATTATAAGCACCCAAGAGGTGACTGTTGACATTCAAGAGAAGAGCCAAGATGTGATGGATGACAACCCCTTTGGTGTTTCCGAATCATCCAAATGGTTTCAGGAAGACCAGACGGTTCTTGCTGCCCTCCAGTGCTCTCTAGAGCAGTCTATTCTTACTGCTTATTCCTATTGTGAGACAGCCAAGGAGTTGTGGGATACCTTAAAAGGTGTCTATGGAAACGTTTCAAATCTCAGCCGGATCTTTGAAGTGAAGAAGGCGTTGAACACTCTTCATCAGGAAGAAAAGTCTTTCACCCAACATTTTGGAGAGTATCGATCTTTGTGGGCTGAGTTGGAAACTCTTCGTCCTCCAACTGCAGACCTTGCGGTGATTAATGAAAGGCGCATTCAAGATCAAGTTTTTGGGCTTCTTTTAACTCTTAACCCTTCTTTCAATGGTCTTATTCGTCATATCCTTCGATCTGACAAGCTTCCAAACTTGAATGAAGTATGTATGCAGATTCAAAAGGAAGAAGGATCCACGAGTTTGTTTTGTCAAAAGAGTGAGCTTGCCTTCGTTAACAAAGGTGCCTACAAAAAGGGTGATTACAACAAATTCATCTGTGATCATTGCAAAAGAAAAGGGCACACCAAGGATAAATGTTGGGTTCTTCATCCACACCTAAAGCCTGCTAAGATGAATGAATCTAGGAAGGCTTTATCTGCTTCCGCCTCTGAAGATGATGTGGTTAGGAAATCGGATTTGGATGCCCTTATCAAAAGCATTGCATCTCTAAAAGAATCTGGTAATGCTTTACTTACTCTTAAAACTGATAAACCAATTATTGTTGATTCCGGTGCTTCCCATCATATGATTAGTGACATTAATCTTATTAATAACATTAAACCTGCTACTGGAAATGTTATCATTGCTAATGGTCATGGTGTCCCTGTTAAAGGAGTAGGAAATCTGAAATTATTTAATAAGGACTCTAAAGCGTTTTATATGCCTGAATTTGCTTCAAATCTTCTCTCTGTCCAAAAGGCTACAAAAGATCTTGATTGCTTGGCTATTTTCAGTCCTAATGATATTTGGTTTCAGGATATTAAGACGGGGATGACAATTGGTGAAGGTTCAACAAAGAATGGTCTCTATGTTATTGAAAATCTCAATCCTATTTATGTTTTTGCTAATAATTCTGTTTGGCATGCTAGACTTGGACATCCTCATATTAAAGCTCTTAAGATGTTACTTCCTGAAATGTCGTTTGATCATGAGAAGTGTGAGGCATATATCTTAGGAAAGCATTGTAAAACTGTGTTTCCAAACTCTTCTACTATCTATGAAAATTGTTTTGATCTCATTCATTCTGATGTGTGGACTGCTCCTTGTGCTACAAGAGATCAATACAAGTATTTTGTTACTTTTATTGATGAAAAATCCAAATACACATGGCTAACTCTTTTACCTTCTAAAGGCCGTGTTTTCAAAGCTTTTTCCAACTTTCACAGCTATGTCTCAACTCAGTACAATGCTAAGATCAAAACCTTGAGAACTGATAACGGTGGTGAATACACAAGCAATGAGTTCAAGGCGTTTACCTCTAAGCATGGAATAGTTCATCAAACTACATGTCCGTACACTCCCCAACAAAATGGTGTCGCAGAACGTAAAAATCGCCACCTTATGGAGGTTGCAAGAACTATGATGTTCTATAAAAATGTTCCAAAGCACTTCTGGGGTGATGCTGTCATGACTGCTTGCTATCTCATCAACCGTCTTCCAACCAAATGTCTAAAAGACATTTCTCCATATGAGGTACTAAACAAAATTAAACCTACTGTGGATTTTCTAAAAGTTTTTGGTTGTGTTTGCTATGTGCATGTCCCAGATGACAATAGAAACAAGCTTCAACCAAAGAGCATATTTATTGGTTACTCCACGACTCAAAAGGGATACAAATGCTACAATCCTACAAACAAAAGAATGTATGTGTCTCGGGATGTCAAGTTTGATGAGGAAAAAGGCTTCTATGAAGAAAAAGATTGGGACACCTTAAAGGACTTGACAAATTCTGAATCTGATCGTGCTCAAAGCCTCAAGTTCCTCTTGGAAAACCTCAACTTCTCCAATAGCAGTAAAAGAAGTGAAAACGTCCGGCAGACTTCATCAGACTTGCGGCAGACTTCTGAAAACGTCCAGCAGACTTCATCAGACTTACAGCAGACTTCACCTGACTTGCAGCAGACTTCTGAAAATGTCCAGCAGACTTCACCAGACTTACAGCAGACTTCAGAAAACGTCCAGCAGACTTCAGAAATCGTCCTGCAGACTTCTGAAAACCTGCAGCAGACTTCTCAAGATTCAGATACAAACACCACTAACACTGATTCCTCTGATGAAGATTTAGAGACAGCCATTCACGAAGATGATTCTCCTGTGCCTCTTAGAAGAAGTACTAGACAAAAGACTGATCCTGCTACAATGATCAAAAAGCGGTTTTGTTATAACTCTGCCATTGCTCATCCTATCCAAGCTTATTGTTCGTTAACTAACCTTCCTACTGACCATCAGGCTTTTCTTAGCAAAATTGACCAGGAAACTGTGCCAAAGACTTATGAAGAAGCAAAGGACAGTGAGGTTTGGATTGTAGCTATTGATGAAGAACATGGAGCCATGAAAAGAAACAACACTTGGGATGTGGTGGAACTTCCTAAGGGCAAGAAACCAGTTGGATCCAAATGGATTTTCACAATCAAATATCATAGCAATGGTGAAATCGAAAGGCACAAAGCTAGATTAGTTGCTAAAGGCTTCACTCAAACCTATGGAGAAGACTATAAAGACACGTTTGCTCCTGTTGCCAAACTTCATACGGTACGCGTTGTCCTTTCTCTTGCCACTAACCTCTCTTGGGATTTATGGCAGATGGATGTTAAGAATGCTTTCCTTCAAGGAGAGCTTGAAGAAGAAGTCTATATGTTACCACCTCCTGGCATTGACGTTGAAGATGGCAAAGTCTTAAAATTAAAGAAGGCTATTTATGGTCTAAAACAATCTCCACGTGCTTGGTATCACAAACTGAGTAAAACCCTACTTGATCATGGTTTTAGAAAGTCAGAAGCAGATCATTCGCTATTCACAATTCAGGGGGAAACAGGTATTGTTGTTGTTCATATTTATGTTGATGATATTATCATCTCTGGTGATGATAAAGAAGGTATTCAAAATACTAAGTCTCTTCTTAAATCTACTTTGATATTAAAGATTTAGGTGAACTAAAGTACTTTCTTGGCATAGAAGTATGTCGTTCTCCGGAAGGACTATTCTTATCCCAAAGAAAGTACACACTTGATCTTCTTAGTGAAACAGGAAAGCTTGGAGCTAAACCAGCAATGACTCCTCTTGAAGAAAGCTACAAGGATTGCCGTAAGGGGGAACCTGAGGGGGAACCATACGAAAACATTGGACAATACCAAAGAATTGTGGGTAAGCTCATTTATCTCACAATTACTCGTCCTGACTTATGCTTTGCTGTGAACCAGGTCAGTCAACACATGCAAGCACCAACAATTCATCACTGGAATATGGTGGAAAGAATCCTTAAGTACCTAAAGGGAACCCCAGGCAAAGGAATTTGGATGCAGAAGAATGGTCACACCGAGATCGTTGGCTATTGTGATGCAGATTGGGCTGGAGATCGTACATACATGAAATCAACTTCAGGGTATTGTACATTTGTTGGTGGGAACCTTGTCACATGGAAAAGCAAGAAACAAAAAGTGGTTTCAAGGTCAAGTGCAGAAGCCGAATATAGAGCTATGGCGACTACAACTGATGAACTTATCTGGCTAAAGGCTTTACTTTTGGATTTAGGAATCAAGACTCCTCAACCAATCACCATGCATTGTGATAATCAAGCTGCAATTCACATTGCCTCCAACTCTGTCTTCCATGAACGCACCAAACATATTGAAGTGGATTGTCATCACATCCGGGAGAAAGTTGAACTTGGAGTTATCATTCCTACTTACACAAGAAGTTCAGATCAGCTCGCTGAGATCTTCACTAAAGCTGCAAATTCAAAGGTCTGCAACTTCATTCATGGCAAGCTTGGCTTAGTTGATCTTCACCAATCAAGAAGATGATTGTTGCACTCTTTTTCCCTGTACCATAGTTTTTCCCATTGGGTTTTCCTGGTAAGGTTTTTAATGAGGCAACTCCATTCTTGGCAAGCTTGGCTTGATTAACATCTCCCAGCCAACCTTGAGGGGGAATGTTAATCCAACCACTTTTAATCATTAGTGTTGCTTCTCTCTCCTTCATGCAGCCCCCCTTTTGTAACAGCTAGTTTCTTCTTCTCCTTCTATATATTTGTATCTCTTTGTACTATTCAGATCGAAGTGAAATATACAGATTCTCTCTGTTCACTATTCTCTCTATTCTCCATTCTCTTCCGCTTATACTTTTCTACAAAGATGTGGTGAAGTTAAGATGTTAAGAGTCCTTTTTCAGCAGTCTTTTTTTTTTTTTTTCAAGCGTTTTATTTTACTAATAAATCTTCTTCCTTTATTTGGGCCATGTCTATTGGATCAAGCTCCATCACTTTAGCCGCGTGTGGATGTCGGATTCACACACTCAAGTATTTTTATTAGTAGGAAAGATTATTCTTGAGGGACAAAAAATAAGAATGTAAAAAAGGCTTATGAATTGTTACAAAAAATTGCTATAGTATTTCTTGCTCGAGAGAGAAATCCCCCCTTTACATGGCCATTGGCCTTTTTATTTATACATAGAAAAACGACATTTAAATGGCTAATTAAGCACAATTATTCTCTCTTAATGTGTCCGTATTCGCATAGTAGTTAATTACTATTAAAACGGGAAAAACCTTCCCACTTCCCACACAACTTCCGAGGCGGTTTCATCATTTAGCTTGTGTAAGGTAACTTCTTTTCACCATCATTTTCTTCTTTTACTTTTGTGCTTTAATCAAAACTTCTCTCTACTTTTCTTCGCCGAACCTCTCTTCGCCGGATCTTGAATTTTTCATTTTTCTCCGATGACTTCCGATTCTAAGAGACCTGAATCCCCGTCTTACGATGAGAGGCGCTCTAGCAATGACGAATGCACTTGTCCTAACGATATTGCCGGTCTTCATTACAAATCCACCTGTACTCTTCAATCCCTTGAACGATTAAAGGGGCTTTGTCAAATTCCTCCTGGAATCATAGCGGAGGCACAGATAGCCGATCCCACGGAATCCCCGGAGAACCACCGCGACGGCTACTTTTGTGTTTACGAAATCTACTTCAAGGGCTACGGATTGACCTTCCCCCTTCCCGAAGCCCTAGTTCGATTCTTGGCGGCTCTTGAGATTGCTTTACCTTAACTAACCCTCAATCTCCTCCGAACCATCCTCGGGATTATAACCGTTGCGGCGGAGGCTGGCTACGTCATTGGAGTCCCCGAGCTGAATGAACTCTTAAGTGTAAGGAGTTCATCAAAGAAAACATGGTACTTCTCGGCGTATCCAAATGCCAACAGGAACGTTATTTCGCACCTCCCGAATAAGGATGAAAACTGGCACCATCCTTGGTTCCTGATTAGGAAAACTCCTGCTTCAATTGGAAATCTTTCCGATGTACTCCCATCGAAGTGGTCTGCGAAGCCTGGTAGAAATTAGGTCGTATATTCCTTCCTTGGTTGTTTTATTTTTTACTGACCAAACTCGTTGTTTTCACTTCGCAGCTGTCATCGCTTCGACTCTTCCGACTGAAGAATTCGTCAAGTTCTTCAAAACAATCCTTGAAGGGGAAACCTTTTGGAACTCTTTCACCCTCGATCGGTTTGTCGAGGCCAACCGAAAACTCAGGATGAGTCCTCCCAATCTACTTCATCGTCTTCCGCCTCCTCCCTCAACTCAGGGAATGTCAGCTCGGGCCCTTACTGCCCAGCGTAAGAAACTTTCCAAGCCGATAGCAGAGGCTTGTGATGAAAACAAGGCGTTCCTTGCGGCCGCCATTGACAAAAAAGACTACAGCAGAACCCTGCTGGTTGATGATAACAGCACCGAGGGAGCCAGATCCGTTGCTGCTTATAGGTTAACACCTCGTCGCGAACGTCGTGACGAACGTTCTCCTCGGAGAGAGCGATCTCCTCGTCGTGATTCGCAGGAAGAGGGACAAGTCGTCCCGTAGTGACTCTTCTCCGCAAAGGGAGAAATCAAGGGCCCGGACTGACCGTTCACCTCGATCATCCCCTCCTACTGAACCAATGGGTCCTCCCCGACCTGTTGATATGTCTTCTTCTTCCCAGCCCGACAGCGAAAAGACTGCTCGGAGTGCATCTCCTAAAAAGGGAGATTCTGAATCTCGAGATGCTTCCTCGAGGTTAAAGCCTGCTCTTGTCCCTCAAGTCAAATCGCTTTCAGGTTTGGTGATTTACACATACTTAAACGTTTTTGTTTCTATTAAGATTCCAATTTTTACAACTCCTCCTTCGCAGCTATGGAGAAAGAGGGCAGCGTCTTCCGATGCTTCAAGACTCGATCTTGCCAGACTTCGACAAGTGGCGCCCTGCGATTCGTGAACGTTATCTGCTTCATGCTCATCATTCATCTCGGGTTAGTTCCGCTTTGTTTTTCCGATTGTGCTGCCGTTTATCGAAATGTCTCACCATCTCGATTTCATGCATAATGGCAGGCTAACGGTGAGCTTGATGACATGATTAAACATTAAGAGGGGCTGGTCCTTGGTCGGGAAAAGGAGATTGACGCGTGAAAGTTCAATCATGTGTTGGCACTTGCCACATTGGCGCCACATCTTATTGTTCGCAAGAGATTTTAGCTTCACGTCATCTGCTGGAGGGTTAGGATGCAATTTCTTATACTCAGTGCAGGACAGATTTGCATGCCACGGAACTTTACAGTCCACACAGAAGAGGCCACGACATTCAACACATCTCCTAACTCCAGATTTAGGGTAAACAGACAGTAAGCTCTTGGCAGATTCAGAAATCTTGGTCTTGGACATCAAAGCCGAGCACCTCGGGTAAGGGCAGTAAACTCTCTCTGTGACAGGTATCGCATTCTCTTTAAGTCTTTGTTGCCACATTTTACTCAGTTTTGGAGTCAAAAGCTTGCCACAGGCATCGATAACCAGCTCAGACTTGCAGCCATCGTGAGGACATTTCGGAACCATTCCATGAAGCAGCTTCACCTCAACATGTTGTTTCACACATTGAAAGCAAAAGCGGTGACGGCATTTTCCAACAGAAAACATGCGCTCAGCAAGGATATCGTTGAAACAGATAGCACACTCCTCTTTCCGAGCTGATTTTGCTTGGCGAGGATCTTCATGAGGGGTGATCTTAGAAAGTATTGATTCCCTTGCAAGTTTATAAGCAAATTTAACATCGTTTCCAGCCACCAGAACATGCTGACAAGATGAAAAGTGTTGCATGATGCTTTGTAGATCATCTAACAACAAAGAAATCTTCTTTTGCTTGGCCATCCATTTTCCCGTGACCTACATTCAAGTAAAACACAATCTTCTCAAACATATGACAGGAAAAGCTAGGTAAAGAAGCATAACTCATTGCAATTTAAACCATCTCTCAAAACACAAGCATAGAACCTTAGAAGTCACGGTCTACTGTCTCCTAACTAGTAAAGATTAGCGCAGTCAGATCTATATAAATGCAAACCAAAGACATATGATAGTGGCTTAGAAAATGGTTACAATATACACTACACTTTTAGATTCCAGGACAAAGGAATCAGCAAAAAGTTCAAACGAATTGCAAAGAGAACAAACCAGATCATCTTTAGAAATACATAAACAAAGTCGGAATCATAAATCTAGAGTAGTTCATATTAAACATTCAATGAATAAACAATGAAAATCGGAAACTTACGTATTGGAAAATCGGGAAAGAATCGCAAAAGAAAACAATATGCTTAATCCCCAACTTCAATGCTTCGGTTAATCCTCGGATCAATGCCTTAAGCTCTGCTCCCTGACGACTCGTGCCATAGTCCATCAATGGTCCCTTCATCTCAAACAACAAATTATCCCTCTGGTCACAAATAGCAACCCCAAACCCAGCCACTACGTCCGTCATCTTCCCCTTCCCGTTCTCATCGCTAACCAAACCCTTAAAGTAAAGCCTATACAAGAGGTTTCCATTAAATTTTCCGGCAGCAGCGTTAACCCTCGAACTACCCTCACAGACTAATTGCGCCGGACGAACAGTTACCTGCGGCAAGGGTTTCATATTATCGTGTCCGGAAGTACTCCGGGAGTTACCAAGCCCAATGTTAGGGTTTGGTTCATCTGTACGTACACCAGTGATAGACTCGTTGGTTTTGCCTTTGCCTTTAGAGTTTCCTCCGCCGATGGCTCTCCTAAAATCGAAACCGTAACCGCTACTTTTTTTAGCCGTCGTCGAACCGTTCCGATCGTTTTCAACGATAGCGATACCACACCGAGCCACAATCGGAGGAGAAGGTGGTCGTTGAGGAGTGCGAGATTGAGAAGATAGAGAAGCCGCGAGTGCCTCCTCCATCTGTAACCGAAAAGCATATTCGGAATCGGAACCCATACTTGCTTTCCGCATAGTTAAAATCCACTGTTACTCTCTGTTGGTGACGATTGACGACGAATGGTTTTTGCTTTACGTCGTCCTTTTCAAAATATATACAGAGAACCGTCACATCACACGTGTGTAGGAAGGGGTAAAAATGTCATTTGTGAATGGCTTACATGAGACGCTTCTTGGTCAAAAGAAGTCAAAGAACCATAAATTCTTGATTTTAACCAGTAAATAAAAAGGTAAATTGATCTCTCCAGTCTCCATCTATCAATCAGTTGGAGTAAGTTGAGTAAAAAATGGAAACTATAACACTATCAAATTAAATCATTGATTAATGACAGTATCAAGGAAATTAATTAAATTAGCAAAGTAGTAATTTTTTTCTCCTTGGGATCCGATAGCTACATTTTGAAATCGAATTATTTAATCCCAAATGAAATCATCATTATCTGACTCGCATTTTGTCTATGATGTTAAAATACTGTAGACTTAAATTTCGCGGGCCTAAACGGGTATAAATAGGCAGCCCAAACAAACACCATTACAAAACGCTATCGTTTTCTAAAATTTTATTAAACGACGCTGGTTTATGAACTTCACACGAGGCACGACAATCTCTGCTGCTCGAGTCGCAACTGTCTTCCCCAGGGAGAGAGATCCGAATCTCGCTCCAATTCTCTATCGCTTACTCACGATTTCGAAGAATCTTGGTGGTTGATCTTCGTCATCTCTCCGTACGTTAGTCTTTCTCCTATGTCTTTTCGATTTTCACAGTGAAATCGAAATCAACAATAAATCTAATTTATACGTTTTTCACTGCCGCATAGCTCTCCATCTAATTTCCTGTGAGACTCTCATGTAAGCCATTCACAAATGACATTTTTACCCCTTCCTACACACGTGTGATGTGACGGTTCTCTGTATATATTTTGAAAAGGACGACGTAAAGCAAAAACCATTCGTCGTCAGTCGTCACCAACAGAGAGTAACAGTGGATTTTAACTATGCGGAAAGCAAGTATGGGTTCCGATTCCGAATATGCTTTTCGGTTACAGATGGAGGAGGCACTCGCGGCTTCTCTATCTTCTCAATCTCGCACTCCTCAACGACCACCTTCTCCTCCGATTGTGGCTCGGTGTGGTATCGCTATCGTTGAAAACGATCGGAACGGTTCGACGACGGCTAAAAAAAGTAGCGGTTACGGTTTCGATTTTAGGAGAGCCATCGGCGGAGGAAACTCTAAAGGCAAAGGCAAAACCAACGAGTCTGTCACTGGTGTACGTACAGATGAACCAAACCCTAACATTGGGCTTGGTAACTCCCGGAGTACTTCCGGACACGATAATATGAAACCCTTGCCGCAGGTAACTGTTCGTCCAGCGCAATTAGTCTGTGAGGGTAGTTCGAGGGTTAACGCTGCTGCCGGAAAATTTAATGGAAACCTCTTGTATAGGCTTTACTTTAAGGGTTTGGTTAGCGATGAGAACGGGAAGGGGAAGATGACGGACGTAGTGGCTGGGTTTGGGGTTGCTATTTGTGACCAGAGGGATAATTTGTTGTTTGAGATGAAGGGACCATTGATGGACTATGGCACGAGTCGTCAGGGAGCAGAGCTTAAGGCATTGATCCGAGGATTAACCGAAGCATTGAAGTTGGGGATTAAGCATATTGTTTTCTTTTGCGATTCTTTCCCGATTTTCCAATACGTAAGTTTCCGATTTTCATTGTTTATTCATTGAATGTTTAATATGAACTACTCTAGATTTATGATTCCGACTTTGTTTATGTATTTCTAAAGATGATCTGGTTTGTTCTCTTTGCAATTCGTTTGAACTTTTTGCTGATTCCTTTGTCCTGGAATCTAAAAGTGTAGTGTATATTGTAACCATTTTCTAAGCCACTATCATATGTCTTTGGTTTGCATTTATATAGATCTGACTGCGCTAATCTTTACTAGTTAGGAGACAGTAGACCGTGACTTCTAAGGTTCTATGCTTGTGTTTTGAGAGATGGTTTAAATTGCAATGAGTTATGCTTCTTTACCTAGCTTTTCCTGTCATATGTTTGAGAAGATTGTGTTTTACTTGAATGTAGGTCACGGGAAAATGGATGGCCAAGCAAAAGAAGATTTCTTTGTTGTTAGATGATCTACAAAGCATCATGCAACACTTTTCATCTTGTCAGCATGTTCTGGTGGCTGGAAACGATGTTAAATTTGCTTATAAACTTGCAAGGGAATCAATACTTTCTAAGATCACCCCTCATGAAGATCCTCGCCAAGCAAAATCAGCTCGGAAAGAGGAGTGTGCTATCTGTTTCAACGATATCCTTGCTGAGCGCATGTTTTCTGTTGGAAAATGCCGTCACCGCTTTTGCTTTCAATGTGTGAAACAACATGTTGAGGTGAAGCTGCTTCATGGAATGGTTCCGAAATGTCCTCACGATGGCTGCAAGTCTGAGCTGGTTATCGATGCCTGTGGCAAGCTTTTGACTCCAAAACTGAGTAAAATGTGGCAACAAAGACTTAAAGAGAATGCGATACCTGTCACAGAGAGAGTTTACTGCCCTTACCCGAGGTGCTCGGCTTTGATGTCCAAGACCAAGATTTCTGAATCTGCCAAGAGCTTACTGTCTGTTTACCCTAAATCTGGAGTTAGGAGATGTGTTGAATGTCGTGGCCTCTTCTGTGTGGACTGTAAAGTTCCGTGGCATGCAAATCTGTCCTGCACTGAGTATAAGAAATTGCATCCTAACCCTCCAGCAGATGACGTGAAGCTAAAATCTCTTGCGAACAATAAGATGTGGCGCCAATGTGGCAAGTGCCAACACATGATTGAACTTTCACAAGGATGCAATCACATAACTTGCAGGCTGAACTAAGCTCTTCTACCGGCTCCAAGCACGATCTGGAGGACAAGGTCGATAGTCTGACATCCGAGCTGGCGAAGATTAAGGGGGAGCTGCAGGACCAGTATGACCAAAATTTCAAACTCCAGGATGAGCTTTCTGGTGTTCAGGGTAGGCTTCACGAATCCGAATCAACCGCTGATTCCCTGAACAACCAACTTATTGAGCTTAACGCGAAATACAAGGCGATCGCCAAATTGCGTGATTCCGAGTTGGCGAGGTCGACATCGAAAGCCAGAAAGGAGGTTAAGGGACGCGGGATGGAGTTGATCCAAGGGGCCATCCGCTTCATGCAGACCGAGAAAGCTAGGTCAGATTTGGAATCAGACATCAAGGAGCACGAAAGCAACCTGATTCTGTTGGATCAAAGTCATGATACAGATTTCTCCGAGGAGCAAGAAAGGACTGAACTGTCGGCTAATCTTTTTGAAAAGCGGAGTTGCTTGGCAGCTCTTCCCACTTCGACCTTCAACCCGCAGGACTTCGAGGAATTCTTTACTGAATCGCCTCCTATAAGTGAATCGGGTCTAGACTGGACAGGTAACTCTTGCCTCCTGACACTTACCACCTTTTTCTCACCTTATGTTTTTTTTTTAAATTGACTGGAACTGTCCTTTCCAGGCTCAAGTGAGACGGAAGATGTCGTCCCACCCGAAGTTCCAGCGGCACCGGAGGTCACCCCGGAGGATGGTTGCAATGTAGAGGGCGGACCAAGAGCTCCATCTGACCAAGCACTAGTCAAGGAGGCGAATGAAACTTCGGTTGCTGAGCCGGAGTCCGAGGTGGCTATCACTCTGTAGTGGCTGCGTCCACTTTAAATTGGGTATTTGTCTCATTTATTTTAAAACTTAATTTCGAACTTGTCTTTGCCTAAGAAGGCTTTATTATTTCTTTTGAACAAGGTATTTTCCTGAGGAGGCTTTTAAACCTTTCTAGGTTTTGACCCCAAGGGGGTTCGGTTAAAATTATGTGCGGGTTTGCAAAGTCCGCTTTTAACCCTTTGTGGCCTTGTGGTTATGCTTTTGAGATTTTTAGGCTGATCAGACCTTTCTCTTAAGAATGCGAGAACTGAGCTCGGCTTAAAGCGAGTTCCCCACTTCGGGTTTAGTCAACTCGGTAAATTTATTGGGCTTGGGCCTTAGAAACTTTTGTAGTTAATGCGACGGTTGCTCTTTCCCTTCTTATTTCTTAAAAGTAGGAAAACGGCTCGTCTTTAATGCAATAACTGTCTTTTCTCGATTTTCCAAAAATGGTTTAAACCACTCGGGCACACTACCATTATTGGATTTATGGTTCCAAGACAAACCCTAAACCATTATAAATAAAGGCTTACCTACCTCTAAGTTTTCTTTAAATACGATTTTAGAATCTTACTTGAGAAATATTACGAGAATGGAAAACGAAAAAGTAGCCCCCATTGATCCCGGCAGCCCACTCTTCTTGTCCGGCGACGGCTTTGAACCAGCCGGCGTTCTTTTTCCTCACGCCGTCTTTCACTTTCCTTCAAAGGAGAAGAAAGAGGCTTGCGACTTTATTGACAAGGTTAATATCTGTCGTCTTTGATTAAAAACTTTTTGTTTCATCTTATTCATTCATCTTTATGCTAGGTTGCCGACAAACACCGTCGCTTATGTGAAGAGAGGCAGCGGCTGGGCCTCAAAAGGAAAACACTCGAGGCTCGCATCGCTCGGGTGGAGAGGAAGATACGGGCTTTGGAAAGTGATCCCTTTCAATGGGAATGGCGGAACTTTGATTCTGTCGCTGCGATCCCGAAGATGCTCCGGATGTATCTCCGCGCTAAAGGAGTCCCGAGTCCCGTGAATGCCCCGGTCTATACCGTTCCATCTGACAGCGAAGAAGAAGACGAGGGGGAGGCCAGCACATGTCGAAAACGCGTTCGAGATTGTCCCGAAGTGGATGCCAAGAACAAGGCGTCCACTTCGAAAGTTAAACCGGCAATGAAGGAGCCTGTTCCTGAGCCACTTCCTTAAATGTTCCCTAACTCTGCTCCTATTTTGAACTCGTAATGGGCTTCGGCCCCCCTTTTTATTTATGAAAACTTTTGCAATTTTTCTTTCTCTTCAAATATTTTCGGAGATGCGTCTTTTAATGCAGGATTGGTTTAAGGACATAAATCTCGCCGCGAATCACTCCATTTCCGGGCTGAATCTGCTGCTTGCTAGGGATATGAAGTCCCTATAAATTACAGCTTCAACTTCCCTTTACTTCTCACTATTCTTCTTACTTCTGCAGATATGGATTTTAACTTCGATGTTCGGAGTCTATGCCGGACTTCTCTAGGATCGGAATGATGGACAAAGATGTTCCAGATGTTCCAAGTAGACGATCTTCTCCACTTCGCGGCTTTTTCAGATCTCAGATCCGAGCTCCATGCGCTTTGATCAAGAACCTTCCAGATAGAGACCGGGAGATTGCGATGGCCTTATGACTAATTAATAAACCGTGTTAAGTGATGTGAGAGTAAAGGAGATTTGTGTTTAAGTGTGAGTGTTAATAGTTTTGGCAATCAATGAAATACAAAAGGCTCACACCTAAACAATTATTAAATTTGATGTAGACAACCCTAATTAACAACTACCAACCATTTTCAGACTTTAACATGCATTGATCACAGCTAACGAGTATTAACTATCAAACTACACAAGTTCACCCAAAAAATAACACATTCACGAAATTTAAAGGAAACAGAGGAACTAACCAGAAGGAAGTTGCTTCAGAAATACAACTCTCTTTCCCTTGAACCTACCAGCAAAGATGATCAAATAACCTTGTGTTACTATCAACATGGAACAAACTTAGACACAAAGAACTATTATAACAGGAAAGTACATGAGCATTAACTTGATCACATCCATAAAACGTGTATTTGCCACTCAGAGTTTTCACAATATAAATAATCCAATCCAAAGTTCCAAAGTATACATTAATTAAGTCTAATATACAAACTCTACAATGTAAAAGTCAACCACAAGGTACAGAACACAATGAGTAACATTCTATATTATCATGAGCAATCAAACAACCTGAAACATAGAAGCTATGAGGATGTATCATAAACATAAAAATACCTAAAGCAATGCCGACTTTCTTCTCAGTAAGGGCAATGGCCTACGCTATAAGTGGTGGTACTTGATTCTCCATCTGCACAAACAAAGCCAATTCTTAAACCCAAAAACACCAACATTTAAACGATATGTTCCGAAAATAAATGTGTACTTTACTGTTCATCCTTGTCTTACAAAATATTATCTGCCTCCTTCCTCTCTTTCTCAAAATGTTATGTCTCCTTCCTCTCTTTCTCAAAATGTTATCTATTCCGAAAATAAACAAGAAACAAATGTTTAAGCTTAAACAAGTACAGAAGCTGCTATAACCCAAAGTGTAACAAAATAATCTCATTGTAACAAGATAAACACAAACAAACATTCTCATTGAAACATACTAGAACTAGAGTTCACAAGATACAAAAGCTAGAGTTCAAACTAGAATTCAGAGCACTGAAATAAGAAACAAAAGCTAGAGTTCACAAGATACAAAAGCTAGAGTTCATACTAGAATTCAGAACACTGAAATAAGAAACAAAAGCTAGAGTTCATACTAGAATTCAGAACACTGAAATAAGAAACAAAAGCTAGAGTTCATACTAGAATTCAGAACACTGAAATAAGAAACAAAAGCTAGAGTTCATAAGTCTTCATTCGTCCCTAATCTAAATTTCACAGAAAAAAACTAATCTAAATATCATAAAAGCATGAGTTTAGAGGGAAAGACTCACATCAGAACCGGGGATATGGATGTCATTTTTTGTTGCTTTTCAGAGAAATCCAAAGAGACTTGCTTTTCAAACCTGAAAAGAAGCAAATATTTGAATTAGCTAGATAACCATCAAGCAAGAATTCAAAGAATGGTCTTAAAATAGTTATCTTGGCAAAACTATAACAAACAAAGCTGGTTCTGTCCAGCTACTTCAAGACTGAAACATATCATCTACTTCAAGCAAACAGCATCAAAGACACTCTTTTGTTTCTTTCTCCTTGAACAAATTGAATAAAGTCTGGTTCTTACTGAGAGTTTGAACGTTGATTTGACTTCACATAGCTTTTCAGGGACCCAATGACTTCGAAAGAATTGAACAAGGAGTATTACAACGTTTCAAGCTCTTCTTTATATTGGAAAACAGCTGCAAACAAGGCATTTCAAATGGTTACAGACGGTAAGCTATGACAGATATAGTTTGTATTTGAGTTTTATTAAGTTTTCACCACACAAGCTCAAAACTAAGAAACTAGCCAACACATACTACATTGTTATTATCATGTATCCTAGAAGATATCAATCTATAGAATATTAAAGAACAACACTGAGCAAATCTGATGAACACACACACATCAACCAAATTAGACAAAAGAACTAAAATCAGTCCACTGAACTACAGAAGCTACAAGATTTTACAACCTAAGAACTAGGCCATCATAGAACATCTTACGGATGCAGGTGCTAAGCTAAAGTCTTTGCTAAGCCAAAGCTTGACTTAGGAACGTTTTAGATGGGTTCTGCTGTCTAAACACGAATAGCTTCAATTTTCAAACACGAATCAAACAAGAGCTACTTCAAGACTGAAACATATCTCATCTACTTCAAGCAACTTCAAGACTGAAACATATCATCTACTTCAAGCTACTTCAAGACTGAAACATATCATCTACTTCAAGCTACATCAAGACTGAAACACTATTAAATGTGTTTACAATACTTAGTAAACTAGTCTCTACATTGGCCTAGTGATCCACGAACTTAAAGCCTAAGCACTATACAAAACAGAGGCTTTCTCCATGAGAAATTGCAGTTTTTCACTAAGCAACAAACCAAGAGCGAAGAAAAAACAGAGATCCAAAGCTTTAGCAAAGAAGATACTACTTCATAAGCAAACTGATACTACTTCACTTCTATTAAGCATGTCAAGTGACTGTTAAGAACCAACCCAGAAGCCCAAAATCAATACAGTTATCAATACGACGAAGGACCGAACAAAAGAGCTCCTGAGACAGAACTTATCGGAAAACACCAATTTTGAATCCTAGACCCGACTTTGAGCAAACCCATAAACCATATGAGAGAAACAACGTACTAGATAGGCGAGATGAGTACCAACTGCTCCGGCGAGAAGTTCCGGCGAAAAGATCCGGCGAGATCTCAGTGAGATTGAATCGATATTATGGGTCAGAGTACTTTGGAGGCTGAAGTGAGAAACCCTAGATCTGTTGTTGTTTGTCGAGAAGAGGAGAAGAAGAGATAAAGTTTGGTGTAATTCTTTAAAAAAAGTCAAGGGTATTTTACACTCATCAGTCATCATTGAGTCGTCATATCCCCTGACAAACATTTTAAATAAAAAATATTACCTTCACGTGTGATTTACAAGACTGTCATGCTGACATGTCGTAACCAGAGAAACTCTGAGCAAACTTAATTATTGTCCAATATTTACTAGACTAATTACATATAATGTAATTAGTGGTACTTATGCATATTTTTCCTCTATATTTAAGAGATTAGCAATTAATAAAGGACAATTATTATATGTTTTGTACTTATATTTTCTTATATGTTTTATAAAAAACATTTAAAATTTAACATATATGACATTCTATTTTTTGTTATAAATTACAAAACATCTAAATGTATATGTGAGCCCATATGTTTCTTAAATATATTTGGAACATAGTTTTACATAAATTAGTTAGTAACATTTCATTTATTACACATTCACTATAAACAATATTTCAATATTAATCTATGTTAAAAATGTATCCGCTTACTCATTATTTTCAATATTATTTCTTTTCAAATTTTTACCTTATCAATTTATTAAAACTTTTACACGGTTTATTCAATTTAATTAGTCATTTACTCATTTTAGTTACAATTTATTTAACTATGCAACTCAAGTTTTGACTTTTACACGGTTCAACAAAATGTGGATGTCGGATTCACACACTCAAATATTTTTATTAGTAGGAAAGATTATTCTTGAGGGACAAAAAATAAGAATGTAAAAAAGGCTTATGAATTGTTACAAAAAATTGCTATAATATTTCTTGCTCGAGAGAGAGATCCCCCCTTTACATGGCCATTGGCCTTTTTATTTATACATAGAAAAACGACATTTAAATGGCTAATTAAGCACAATTATTCTCTCTTAAATGTGTCCGTTTTGATCTTTGGTTTTAATGCTCAACGTTCGAATTTGAGTTGATTCTGATCTTCATGGGCCTCGCCTTTTGGCCCAAATATCCTTGGACCGACTTAACCATGACTTCGTCTCCGGACTCGTGTCGAGGTGCAGTCACTTCGAATTCTCCTTATGGTGGTAACCACTTCGATTGTTCTTTTGACTTGTGGGTCTAGTGGGCTTTATCCTTAATGGGCCATTACCCCGACTACGTGGCAATCTTTGGTTGGTCCTGGACCTCTGGTGCGGGATCCGACACAACACCGCGTATTAGGACATTGTTCTTTCTGTTAACTTTTGACCATTTATTGGCCCTCTTCATTGACAGATGCATAGCCATTGATCATTCTAGCCTTCTAAAAGATTAAGGTGTTCTATATGGCCAAATTCTCTAAGGGCCTCTCTTTTTTTTCTTGGAGTCAACTCCATGAAATCCCTTCGGAATCAATCTCCTACTTGAAGTCATACTACTTCTGCAAAGTTTGAGAGTAAAGTAAAAAGATCAATTCGTTAAGAATCGTTGTTAATTGATTGGTGTTTAAATTAGAGTGAAATTGTGTAAGTGCATTTCACGAAAACTATTTCAGTACCTTTATTTTAATATTGTTTCCTCAAACTTTGCAAGGGGGAAACATAATCCCTAGTGATCAATATCTCAATCTCAAGATTAATCTTGTTCTTTATATGTGCTGCGTACGTCTTCGTAAGTGTCCTTACAAATCCAAGATGTGGAGCACAATAAAGGTGGTCAATTTCACTCTTTCAACTCCTTGAAGGATGCACAATAGCCAAACACACAGTTAAACCAATAAAAATATGAAAACATAAACTACAAACTAAAAATAGTAAAAGAATGTGAGTCTACCTTCTTAAAAATTCAGACAGAGAGTATCCAGTTAGAAGTGAGAATTTGAAATCCAAGCAACGATGAAATCAAAGTCACCTAGAATTCTCTCGGAGGATCGTTGAATCCGTTTCTCTCTTCCAAGATATCTGAATAAAATTACGAAGACACAAAACGAATCAGATTTCTTCTTCCATGTATAGCAGATTTGATGAGGAGAAATACGACGATGAAGTAAAAAATCAGCCATATGTGACCCGGAAAAATCTAAATGATTGAAAAAATAAGCAGAGGAGGAAAATAACCTAGAAATCTAAAATGGGGCAGTGCAACTGTGCGAGATATTTGATTTCTAACATTAACCCATGAGGGTCACACTGACACAAGTACACGACGATGATGAAGAGATGATCTGGAGAACAGATTTATATAAGGATCATAAATTTTTTTTTGAAGATGGATCGTGGGATGGAGAAGTGAGGCACGATGATACGGTTATTTTGTTTTTCTTTTTGTCGACATTTTATTTAGTTATTTCGATTAAAGTTAATAATTTTTTAAAATTACATGTGGCAAAATCTAATTGGTCAGATGACTTGCGATTTATAAGATAAAAGATTATATACTTTTTATCTATTTGTTGGCTTGACATGACAAATGTAAAACTGGCAGAGCAAGTCCGATGTGTGGGGAAGGAATGGATGGCAGAAGTTGTAAATAAGCAAGAAACAGAAGGTGTCTTTTGAGGGGAAGAAAGATGAGGAATGAGTGTGAGTTGTTATTGATCAGTTTTGACAATTTAGTTACTCAGTTTTGACTTTTCGTGGAACCATCTGCCAGAGACAGCTACCAAATGGACGGTTCTTACTACGCGAAGTTTATCGCCTTATTAATGTCCCTGGCGTACCCAACCTTGGTCTAAACTTGTTGAACCATGAGCGCAACGGTTTCGCAATCTCATGCACGACGAGGAGGAGCATGAAGACTGATTTAGAGTATTCAATTGGGTAGTAGGATTAAATATCTTAATTGAGAGATTTTGACTAATGACAACTTGCTGTTTGTGAATTTTGACTCATGAGAAGTTCGGGTTTTTGTAAAAACAAAAAGAGTAAATGGTAAACCAAACCGGTTTGCATTTTTCTTCTTTGTCAAGTCAGTAATGCTCGGTTTGGTATTAAATTAACCAGAAAAAATTGTTGGTAAACCGGTTTGGTTTCTGGAAATTGCAGATTATCATATATCAATGCCAATCATTTGTTTCCTATTCCTGAATTTGGTTCTCTGAAATTGGATTGAACCGGGAATACGGTCTCGACTTTACTAGATAATGCTGTAACTATTCAAAAAGCTGTGATCCGATATTTTCATATTTCTGGGTTTGGTGTCAAATGAAAACTGTACGGTTTACAAGAGTAAACATAGATACAAATTACAAGTGTCTCACGCATCACTCACATATGAACACTCTTTGTATCAATCTATGTTCTAATGAGAAACCCTCCCCAAAGCTTATGCTTTCTACATGTTTCTCTCACCCTTCTAAGCTATTTTGTGTGCAGCTCTCTCAAGCTCCCACAGGCCGTGAGTCTCTCCCGTACTCACCGCTTCTTTTCTCTCCGGTTTCAGTGAACCCCCACTTTCAATAGATTAGGTTCCCTATTAGTCTCAGCTTTCTCCTCTATCTATGCAGCATGTGCTCTTCTCTTTTTTCCTTCACCACATTCCCCGAGGAAGAAGAAGACCAACAAAACAACAAGTCTTCAAGAGTAATTACGTTCCTCTCCTTTTGTCTTTATGTTGCTTGAAACCTTCTTTGAACAAGAGACTTTGGGCAAAAAACACTTAAGCCAAATCTCCACCTTGGTTTTGTGTTAACCCTCTTCTCGTTGAGCCATCAACACGTCTTCAGATCATTAGTTGTGAAAACCAGCTCCAATGCAACCTTGCATTAAGCTCAACTCTTCCCTGTTCATCTCCTGTTGCATTCAACACTTGAATACTTGATATCACCGCTCAGAAAACTCCATTAACAGGCTTATAAAACTCCATAATTGCTTCACCGCTTATAATTCATTCAATCACACATTCTCCATCATGGCTTCTGTTCAAGCCATCAACATGTTGCAGTGATTGAAACGCCATATCTGCAAAACCTGATTCCCTTGCTTGCTTCTAGGATTTCCTCATGCGCATTGGAGATCAAAATCCCTCGAATTTACTTGAATCATTTGCAGAATAAACTGAATCATCTTAGCCTCTAACCTGAAGCACTTTGATTCAACTTGCAGCCTCTCACCAACAGCTTATACCATTGTAGACTAACCTCTATAACATGTTTAAGCAAACCACATTCAGGACAGAACCCCTGCTCAGTCATCTTGTTAAAACAGACCACACCAGCAGCTTGAAAACCTGCTACTAGCCACCTTTAGCATGTCTCTTTTCAGCAAAACCTTGTGATGTTCCTAAGACACGACGACTTACAACAGCTTATACATCAACTCTAGAACCCTTGATGGCTCTTTCAAGCTGTAATAACAACCTGCAATACTTCTTATTGTATGCAGCCTCCACCAAACGAATTTGGCCATTGCATCATTCGATTTGCAGTCTTTAGTCACGACCTTTATTCCTCTTAAGGACCATTCCCTTGACTGACCTGCAAATGACTTCCATGAGTAGACACTTATGTAGACTTCTCATAATGCAACCAAGACAACTAAACAATCCTCAGTTGTTGTCTTCTAAATGCAGCTTAATTTTCATCCTATGTAGGACTCTTTTTCCAGCTTCTGACACTAGCTTTGAGATGAGTTGTCCATCAACTAGATACCCAACTCTTTCACATCCTTGGCTGTTTCTGAAATGCCAGTTTTGAGCAATGTTAATGTGCCACCACCATCTAGCTGCCAAAGAATTGATATATATATATATATCAGCAATAATTTAAGGTAATTACAGCAAGTTAAGGTAAAAGCTAACGCATATTGAAACTGATATCCTCTGAAACTGAAATATATCCACGTTGAAAAGGTTAAGCCGTCACTCGAGTCAACTAATTAGGAAACCAAAAAGTGATATCCCATGTTTATGCATAAGAAGTCATTTCAACAAGTAAATAAAGGTAACCAATCCAATGAGAAATCAAATAGTATAATATAAATAACATTAAAAGAGCTTCACGTCTGGAGAAAGAAACACTTCCACGATCAATAATAAGACGACATAGATATACCTCACTCAAGATGAGATTGATGTTGTAGGGTTGTCGTAGCAATACCACTTTGCTGCAAAAAGAACAAACAAAATGGTATCAGCTTATTTGTAAATAGATGTTGTAATTTCAAACTTAGAAACCCAAAACATTGCTAATTCAAAGATGAGAGCGATGATCAGTCAAAAGTGACTTTTCTGCTCCCAACAGGTTACCTCCCCCTGGTTTCTCTTCACATGAACGAGCCGACCTGTCTTCTGATATTGCACCAGGTATTATATAATACATTCTTAAAAATGGATGGTTTCAACTTTGCATAAGCTTGAAACTCTCATAACTCATATTATGCAGGGACTCGCTTGCTTGACTCGGCCTCCTTGTTGAGGAACACATATCATGTCCCACCTCCAAGTGGCAATTTGACCGCCGCAGCAGATATTGAGTTTATTGATCCTGCAATTTTAGCTGTTGGAAGGGGAAGACTTCACAGTGGGATGGAAACAGCAGACTTTGATATGAGATCAGGGTTCTCTTCTCAGTTGAAATCCTTTGAGAACGATGCAAGACTTCAATTGTTGGCGCAGAGGTCTCTGGCTGCACAACAAGTCAATGGATTTCATGTTCTCATGAACGTTAACAACTTTTCTTCTTCACTCTCTGACCCATATGGAATTAGTTCCAGGCTAATGGATCAAACACAAGGAACTGGCTTATCTCCTTTCACACAATTACCTAGACAAGCTTCACCAAATCCGTTGTTGTCAAATGGACACTGGGATAAGTGGAATGAAACTCAAAGTGGTAACAATCTTGGGACCAACCAGCTTCTAAGGAATGACCGGATGGGATTTAATGACAATGTCTACAGCCGTTTTGAAGAGCCTAAGTTCCGGAGGCCCGGTCCTGGAGATCAGTACAACAGAACTTATGGGATTTGATTATGTATAGATCTTATCAAGAAGAGCCAGTCGATGCTTTACACTGACTTCTTTATCTACCCCTTGTGCAACCTCTTCATCTTGTTTCTGTTGGTTTAAGCTTGAATGAGACTAAACCGGGAGATTGCTTGAGTCATAAGTAACCGGTTTAGTAAAGAGATAAGAGAAGATCCTTAGGAGTTATCTAGAGATTTATGTTAATCTTGAATGTAGATTCTAATCGTGTTAGGATTAGGTCATGAGGGTTTTTCTTATATAAAGAGATATTGAGTTGTGATATCCTTTAAGAGTTGTATGAGAAGTTTGAGAGGTTAAGAAAACTTTAGGTTTGAGGAATTTCCTAAAGAAATAAAAGAGAGCAATTCTTTTGTTTGAGTTCTTGATCTAAGCATTGAAACTATATTTGGTATCAGAGCGCTAAAACTTGCGGTTGTAGAGAAGAGGATCGTAAACAGAGAAGATGTCGGAACTCGCGGTTGCGACGGGAAAGAAAGATGGAGAAGGAGTAGGATCTTCATCAGCGACAGGAAAGAAAGATGGAGAAGGAATAGGATCTTCATCGATCAAGTGCCCTATGCTTACCACGACAAACTACACAGTATGGGCCATGAAGATGAGGATCGCTCTCCGTGTACACAATGCATGGGATGTTATCGAGACCAACGTTGTTGATAACGATAAGAATGACATAGCCCTAGCCTTGCTCTTCCAGTCAATACCAGAGGCACTGGTTCTGCAGATTGGTGAAATAGATTCTGCAAAGAAGGTATGGGCAGCAATTAAAGCCAAGCATGTTGGAGCAGAAAGAGTAAAAGAAGCAAGGTTACAAACCTTGATGGCAGAATTCGACCGTCTTAAGATGAAGGATTCAGAAACCATTGATGGATTCTCTGAAAAACTAGCTGAGATAGCTTCAAAATCAGCTGCACTAGGAGAAACTATTGAATCAACCAAACTTGTTAAGAAGTTTCTCAAGAGTCTTCCACGAAAAAAATACATCCATATTGTGGCTACTCTTGAACAGGTTTTAGACCTTAAAACCACAAGCTTTGAAGACATTGTTGGACGTCTTAAAACATACGAAGATCGTATTGATGATGAAGAAGATACACAAGACGATCAGAACAAACTAATGTACACTAATGCAGAAACAAATTACAATGGAGACTACAGAAACAGAGGACGAGGAGGTAGAGGTTTCTATAGAGGCAGAGGACGTGGTCGAAACGGAGGAAGAGATCTCTCACAAATAACATGCTTTAGATGTGATAAAAACGGTCACTTTGCCTCACAATGCCCAGACAGGTTGCTAAAGCTACAGGAGACA